TCTTTTGGTGGTGTATTTAAGGAAATTCAAGCAGAGATGAGTGATTAGACTAGGACAGATTGAATAAATAGACAGATAAACAGATAGATCTTGGCCATAGCTCTACCATTGAGCTGATGTAAAATCCTGGGTGAGCAAGGCATGGTGGCACATTCCTATAATCCCAACACTCAGGAGGCCAAGGCAGGGAGGGTCGAGAGTTTGAGGCCAGCTTGGGCTACATAGTAAAATCCTGTCTCAAAAAAGAAGATGCTAGGTGAATCTGTTTCTTTTATCTCAGTCTCCCTATCTAAATAAAAAACCAGCACAGCTAGATAAGAGAATTTCTAAGAACCAGTCTAGTTGTGACATTGAGAGATCAGGGAGGTTTGCCTAGAACCTTTCTGTCCCTGGCTCCTTGGAGTGCCTTTTGGTCTCATGAGGTCTCTCCTTGCAGCCTGGGACCTAGAGCCAGCTCCAGCAACTCTTTAGCCTGGGTTGACGGCATGAAAGCCAGCCCCACTTTTCCAAGAATGTTGGTGCCATCTCACTCTTTCAGTAAGCATCACTGCCCTCCTCTTTAGTGCCAGCTATACGCCAGGCCTGGTGCAAAGTGGAAGACAGACATCAACAAACAATCCAGAGTTGAGAAGATCACACTGAGTACTCTGGCTGCAGTGCAAGGGGGTGGATGGAAAAACGTGGCTTTGCTAACCAGGACCACAGGCCTGGCCCATGTGGTGGACACTTGCCCTGGGTCATATCTGAAGAGTGTCAGGTTGAACAGGGGAGTAAGGTCCCCATGGAGAACTCGTCACAGCTTTCACCTGCCACCCAGCAGCAGCTATTACTTTACTCACCAACACCAAGTGAATGCTGAACCGGGGTGTGCAGGTACAGTGTGGTACCTGGAGCTGGACTGCTGAGTTTCAATCTTGGCTCTGCAGGCTCGTGAGAAAGTTAGTAAACACCTCTGCCTTGTTTCTTTATTCATCATATTGGGCTAATTATAGCACCTACCTGATGGGATATTTGTTTCTAAAGAATTGCCAAGTGCTTTAGAATATGGCCTGGTGCAGCTGTTACAAGGTGGAATTGCAGTGTGAAACAATGTAGCAGTCACCAGCACCAGTAGTGCCTCCTCCACCATTGGTTATAGCCCATGTCTATGACACGTTGTAACATGGTAGCATGGTACGATTAGCCTTTAGATTGTAAGAACAGAAGGTGATAATGATTGTTCTTTACTGGGATGGAACATGTGTTTTCCATGATTTTGTTAGAGTAAGTCCAAGGTAAAGTGGCCGTGACCCTTCCTCTCACAACCATCTTTCAATTTAAAGCTCGCCCACTTCAGAGGGCATGAAAGATAGGAACGATTGCTCCTGTTTTAGCAATGAGGACACTGGGGTTTTGGAGCTAGTTGGAGGCAGAGCCTGCACTGGAACCCATTTCCCCAAATCTCATTCCACAGCCACCACCTCCCCCTTTAAGGCCACCATGGCCTTAAGGCAGGCTCTTATTTGAGAGTTAGCAGAATCTATGCTGGTCCACCCTTACCTGTCTCAGTTTCTCTGAACTAGCAACATGTGTGTACCAAGGGCTGATTTGGACCTAAGGATGTACATTCTGGCTCCACACTGCTTTCTTTTAATTAAAAAAAAGATAGTGGAACAGTTTTTGAGTACCTACTAAGCACCAAGGGGAGTAGCTACTCTTATTTACATTTTCCAGATTCATCTCTCCATTCATAAAACTTGGTAGTACCTACTGTGTATCAGGATCTACTCCAGATATTAGGATCAAAATAGGCTAGGCCCAGCCTGGGGAAGTTTACCTTCACTTGAGAGCATGGGCTCAGAGTTCAGAGGACTGCACTGCAGCAGGTCCCTGTAACTCCAAGGTTGTTCATCCCTGATGCTGGAGACCCCGCTGCAGGGGTCCAGGTCCCGCACAGGCTGCTTCCTTGGACCTGCAGGAGGGTGAAACAGAAACCCCCATGAAAGTACTCTTTAGTGCTCAGAAAACCCTAGGCCTAGTTGGGCATATTGCTTTTCTGTTTTAGACACTCTTGCTTGTTGGTTCAAGGTACCTGGTTTTATCCTCAGAGAGTCACCTGTTCAAGGAGTTGGTAGCCAGAACCCTTGGAATTAGAGCAGGTCCCTGTTGACTGTGTGTGTTCCTGTCAGCAACGTGTCTCCCTGTCACTCAGCAGCTTACGCCCTTGGCCTTCAGCCAACAGCCTGGCTCTGTGCTCACTAAAGAGTTCTAAGGGAGGTGAGGCCTGGGCAGTGCTTAGCAGAACCCGTGATGTCAGTAAGGGTGTGCTAAAGTACACATGTCAAGTCATTAAAATAAGTCTGGTGCAGTGGCACGCACCTGTAGTACCAGCTACTGGAGAGGCTGAAGTGAGAGGAACACCTGAGCCCAGTTTGAGACCAGCCTGTCATAAAAACAAACAAAAATCAGTAAGATGGTTAAGCCTTTGGATCTACAAATCAAAACCACACTGAGATGTCACTGCACACCAAGTGGAAGGGCCAAGACCAACATGACTGTATGTACAGTGGGGGTGAGGGTGGGCAGGACCTGAAATTCTCATCCGTCACCGCTGAGAATGTAGTGGTGTAGACAGTTTGGAAAATACTTTGACAGTTTCTTAAAAACACGTGACCATTGCATGACTGGGGACAGAGCTTAGGGGTAGAGCATTACGTACGCAATGAGGCCCTGGGTTCCATCCCCAGTACTGAAAAAAGACAAGGGAATATACACGGCTGCCCAGTCCAGTCCTTCTAACTCACAGGTCTCCATGCAAGAAAAAAATGAAACCTAGGTGGAGGCACAGTGTTGATAGCAGCTTTATTTGTAACAGCCAAAACTGTCCATCCGTGGGTTTAGATGACGAAACAGTCCACAGCGTGGGGATACTACGATAGATTGCTTAGCAATGAAAAGGAATGAACCAGTGATACAGGCACCAGTGTGCACGAGTCTCTCAATAATGAGAAAGAAGTGAATGAGAATAAGTGAAAGAAGCCAGATCCCCAGAAAGTACATGAAAAAGTTCATACGGTATCATTCTGTTCCATTTTTGTACCAAACTCCAGAAAATGTGAACTAATCGGTAGTGAAAGTAAAACAACAACAACAAAATAGCGCTTGCCTGGGAGAAGGTGTGGGGAAGAGGGAGGGATTGTGAGGAGAACTGGGGAACTTTGAGGACTGATGGATTGGGGTGGTGACTTACGTATGTCAAAGCATATCAAATTGTGCAGTTTAAATATGTGAAGTTTCTTGCTTCTCAGGAAAGTAATGGCAACCCCAGTCTCCAGCCACACCTCGGAAAGATGAATCCGGCCCTTCCCCTCCCTCAGGCACCTCCTGCCCTTTGTGCCAGCAGACGGGAGCAGCAAGATAAGAACAGCGCTGTGGAGTGGCTGGGTCCCGTTCTGTTCTTGCTCTATCACTTACCCACCTTGCTGTGCCAACTTGGTTTTCTCACTGAGAAATAGACCAAAATCCATGGTCACCTCCTAGGGTTTTTGGAGGAGAGCATGGGACATGTAGTGAAGAGCTAGATAGACATGCCATCAATGGCAGGCCCCTGGGGACCTGAGAAAGAGAGAGTTTCTTCTTGCTGAGGGGAGGGGAAGTGGGAAAGGCTGCCCACTGAGTGGCCATGAGCTGAGTCTTGAAAGGAGAACAAGGAAGAGTCTGCTAGCCAGAGGTGTGGAGGGGTTGTGGGGTGGGTGAAGGACTTCCCAGGTGGAACTAGGTGGGATGGCTGCACCCAGACTTCTTTTAGAAGAAGGCTCTTCTAGAAGCATCTAGAAACTTCAGCAATGTGGGGTAGCTGACTTGCAGGGGCCAGGAGCACTCTGACTGGTTAGGGCTGTGGACTTATGTGGGAGCCCCATCCTTGAGATACCCAAGGAGGACCAACATAATTCTTCAGCTCAGGGATTCTCAAATTGGGGTCTCAGAAATATTGCTCTGGTGATTATGAGTTCTATGGCAAGTTTTTATTGCACAAAAAATTTTAAACTTTTTATTTGGGTGCAATATATTTCTATGGAAGACACTTTCACCCATGAGAAAACTAAAGTCAGTGGTATTGAAAGTGAGGGCTGGGAATACATCATTATGTCACACAATTTTCTTTTACAAAGGCCTGAGCATGTCCATGGGAGGGGTGTGGAGAGGTGTCAGTGGTTATTGTGGATGACAGTCCACAGTGGTTGACAGTCACAGGCTGTGGCTGGTTTCCATGGAGATGCCAGGCTGGTCTGGTGGATTAGGAGAGGACTCCTGCCTGTGTGGGGGAGAGGTACCTCTGACTCCCATGGCAATCAGACCAGGGGAAGAGGGCAGTACAGGCAGAATGGGGGATGTCTGTCAGCACACACGCACACTGGGTGCTCAGTGGAGTGGGGAAGGTAAGGATAGGTATAGGACAGGAGACAACTTCCTAGCTGGCTCCACTTCCATTGGATCAGGTCTTCTCAGAGAGGAGGCCCCAGGCATGGGCCTGGTGTAGCACCTGGCCTAGGCCTGCCCCACGCCAGTGGAGAACTCTCCTCCCAGCCAGGCCTTGGAGATTCCACCTACAGGTACTTGGTGCTCTGTTTTTGTTTTTTGACAGCACTGGGGTTTGGACTCAGGGTTTCATGCTTGCAAAGCAGGTGCTCCACCACTTGAACCACTCCGCCAGCCCTACCTACAGGTCCTTGGCATGGAATCTTCTGCCTCCTCAGGACTCCTTTCCTCCCCCACTGTGATGGTGGAGCTGAAGGATAGAGTGTACCCTTTGAGTGCAGGTTTCTGGCCTCCTTCTCCCACCTCCCATGACCCCTCATCCCACATGGGACTCTGCTGGTCCTCAGATGTGAAGTGGGAGAGATCCACGGTTCCTATTCACTCAGGGCTCTGTGGTAGAGGGGATATAGCAGTGAGGGAGAGGAAGGGGCAGAGTGGGGGAAGGGAGACATCCTGGGGAGTGCAGAGAAAGCAAGCACTGGGCCTGTCAGAGTTCCTGGAGGTCCAGGGTCTGTGAGGCAGGGTGGTGACAGAGAGGTAAGTTACAGAGCTGGTGGCACCTGACATTTAGGAAGTCTTGCCCTCCTGGGAAGCAGCCAGCTCCCTAGGTGACCTTCTGGGCTCTGGGGGATCAGGTGAGTGCTCGCAGGTCTGTTAATTAAACAATAACAGCCACCAGGCAGTGCTCCGTGGAAGGTGGGAAGCACCTACAGCTGGGATTTGGGGAGGTGCCCAGAGCTCAGACCCACTCTATATTTCTCGAAAAGGAAGAAGCCTGCTGAGCTGCTCTGGGGGAGAAGTGGCTGAAACAGCAGAGGCAAGGAAGGCAGAGTGTTCTGGACTCAAGGTGAATTTATGTTGCTTTGATTTCTTATCTTGACCCACATTGAATCAAATCTGGTAATGCCTACACCTGCCCGATATATATGAACATGGTGGATACACATGTACACCCCAGAGCTAGAATAAATTCCGCCCTATAGGAGCCTCTAGTCCAGTGCTTCCTCCACATTATCTGGATGCAAGTTAGAATGCGAGTTCTCAGGCCTCAGCCCATCCCACTAATTTTGACAGTGGGGTTGGGGCTCAGAGATCTGCTTCAGCAAGCAGTCTGGTGGTTCTGAGGAGCTCAGTGCAAGATCACTGATGTAGTCCATTGGTGGTGGTGGGGGAGAGGGAGAGAGAGAGAACGTGTGTTAAATTATAACTTGCAGAAGTGCATTCTACATTTATAGTTAACCAAGCAAAAGTCTCACAAAACACCATTTATCCTTAGCCCTCGAGAGCCACTGTGATTTTTGTATTCTATTTTCTTTCTTTACAAAACACTTAATCAAGACCCCACACGCACACCGAATTTATTTCACAACCCACAGGGTGGGTCCTGACACATAGTGTGAAAAACCAGCACTTTCGTAATAATGTTTTGTTTTCCAAATCACAGGCCAGCCTGGCCACACTGATTGGCCTGTGATGGTACTCAATGTCCCAGCCAGGCGTGGATGTCCCCTGATGCCCTGCCCAGTACTGTCTGATGTCCAGTCCCCTGCCTCCTGCCCTCTGACCTTCTCTGTTCCGCCATTCTTCTAGTAGCCACTGGACCTTGTGGTCTCTGCACCCCTCTAATTGGTGCCTAGAGCCTGAGGCAATTGCATCCAGGCCAGGGAACTAACCCCTGCCTGCCCCAGGGATGCCACTCCAGGGGACTGTGCCACCCCTGTTTCCACAATTTTCTCTCTAGTTATCCTCCTGACTTTTCTCCCGTCCCAGCCACTTCTATTTCTGACTGTGAATTGTGAAGGACAGTGTTTCTCAGGGGAAAATCTTGGCATCCTCCATCCTGTACCTGCTGATGGAGAGTTTGGATTTGGTTAATTTAAGGGTGATTGGAAGTTGTCTTGTAGTTAGTATTTCTAGAGAAGGAGGGCAGCCAGTTTTTGCTGCCAAACTGTGGTGTAGGGCTGATTTCAAATCACTTTCAGAGCACTTGTCTTAAAAGCAGTCACTGGCCCTGTCCCCTCAATGGCTGTAACTGCAAAGTGGCCCTCACTGCTGCCTTACAAAGTAGGGCTTCTTGTATGACCATTTACAGTCATCTCTTTGTTCCACTGGGGTAGGTTCCAGGACTGCCCAAAATCCAAGGATGCTCAAGTGTCTTATATAAAATGTCACGGTATTTGCATAGAACCTGTGTATGTCCTCACATATACTTATGTCATCACTAGACTACTTGTAACACCTACTACAAGTAAAGGCTACAAAAAATAGTTGTTATAATACTGCATTTCTTAGGGAATGACAAGAAAAAATGATTGTACATGTTTAGCAAAAATGCAATTTTAAAAACTATTTGATCTGTGGTTGGTTAAATCCATAAATGCAAACCCCATGGATACAACTGGCCAGCTGTGCAGTCAGTGGATGGAGGTAATTGTGGTATCCCAAAGCTTGTGTGGACCTCACATAGCCCCTTAATCTGTCCAAGCCTCTGCGTGGTTACCTCTGAGGTGGGCCATAACCCAGGGATTGTTCCTAACTCTAGATTAGGCTGTCCTGAAGGGTTGTTGTAAGATTAAATAATAAAGTAACATACGGGTGCCTGGTCTAATAGTCAGTTCATGCTTGGCAAGGATCCCCTGACCAAGCACACCCTTACTCTGAGAATCACCTCAGTTAATCCCATGGGAGAGAGAGCCAAAAGGACTGTCCTCTTCTTGCTGTGGACCAGGACCTCTCTGCAGCATTGTCTGCAATCACCCGTGATGGGGGAACAAGAGAACATTCCCACAATCCACTTGGAGTAAGCTTTGGGATTAAAACCAGCTGTGCCTCAGTTCCTGCAATTCCATTTCTGTATAGGAGAGCAGAGAGGAGGAGAGTGGAAGGGTGGGAACTGTGTGTGGCATGGCAAGACTGACTCACCACCAAGCTGTCTGAGTCATGGCCCGGGAGTGCGCCCCACCAGGACTTTGGGTCAGTTTGTGATGGATGGCTCTGGCCAGAGTGACAGAGCAAGAGCACTGCCTGTAAGTGCTCATAGGGCTGCCTGGGGAGCTGGGCTTTACTCAGGTCGGAATCAGCACACCTTCTGGGTTCTAGGACAAAGTGTCAGTGGGCAGCTGGGTTGGCACGGATTTGGAGTGGCCAGGCACAATAAGACTGAGACTGCCTGGCAGCCAGGGGCTCAGCTGTTATCCTTAATTCCAAATTCTCTAATTGAGGCCTGGTTTTATGCCCAGGGGATCCTTTCTGGAACTTGGATACTTCTCAAGATGACTCACAGGGAGCTTCCTGCACTGTGTGGCAGCTCTCAGCGAAGATCTAGGGGTACAGGCAGGGGTGGACAAGGTCTTTACCCCTATGAGTCTAACAGAAAGGCTTTGGACTTGGATTGTCCTGGGTTCGAGTCCTACATGTGTTACATAGCATCTGTGACTTTGGATATCATTCTTAGCATCATTAAACAAGGTAGAGAGAGTACAAATGTCTCTCTGAATCTCTGAAGGATAAATAAGTTAATAGCTATAGGCCTTTTGTCATCATCAGACACTACAGAACACCAGATAAGTGATGGCTGATATTATTATTAGTGTGACTCCTGGACTCCACCTCTTTTGGGCAGGTTATTTGCTTCTCTGAGGCTTAGTTTTCCCTTTATGTAAAACAGGCATGTGGCAGTCATTCTGTGAACCTGACTTTGCCTCTTTCTTTGCTGAAGAGGAGTCTGGTATCATGTTTTAGGGGTGCTTCCTAGTGGGGATCCAGTTAGGTTCTGGGAAGGGTTCTTGGAGCCTGAATTGTTGGAGGGCAAGCAGTATTAAATTCCCAGAGAGCTTTAAAAGTTGCCATTAGGGCTCTAGAGAGATCCAGGCAAGTTCTTAAGGGGTGACAGCCCTTCAGCACTGGAACTGTAGAGCCAAAGTGGGGACTTCCACCTGAAGCCTCAGCTTCACAGAGTCCAGGAAGAAGGGGAAGGGGGAGAAAAGGAGTCTAAGAGTGGCCCTGGGGGACAGGGCTCTGAGTCCCAGTTGGAAGTCCATCATGCTGATCTGGCAGGTGGCCAGGGTGGGGCATTTTTGTCAGTGCCAAGTACCCTGTCTTTCCTGCAAGGCTAGTCCCTCTGGACACCCAGTTACAGTCTGGCCATTTGTTCTTGGCCTGAACAGGGCAAATGGAGCCTCTGGATGGGCAGCCTGTAACACCCTGGCCTAGGGCCCTCACCTCTACTTTGCCCTGTCCCCTCTGCCCATAGCCATTGAAGCAGTGCTATTCTGCCTCCCAGTGCTAGCTAGGCTCAGTGTTGTCAGGGTCAACATAAGGAGAAGACTGAGGGTTTGCTCCAACAGCCTGTCCACCATGGGCAAAGCCTCTGCGGAGGTTTGTCTTCTGTGAGCTTCAGTTGCTGTAGTTCAGCAGCCCTCAGTTCAGGTCTGGTGGTTTCGCTCTTTCTTCTTTCCAGCCTGGTGGCTAATCTCCAGGATCCCTTTCAACTCCTGGCAGCTACTCAGCTCCTTCACTCCTTCTTTATTTATCCCCCTACCCCATTTGTAGCTGGACTTGGAATGGTCCAGAGTTGCTATTGCCCCAGGCAAATAGTTTGGGAGACCCTATCTTAAAAATACCCACCATAGAAAGGGGCTGGCAGAGTGGCTCAAGTGGTAGAGCACTTGCCTAGCAAGTGTGAGGCCCTGAGTTCAAACCCTACTACCAACAAAATCAACAACAAAAAAAATACAACTCGCATCAGCCTGTGCTATATACCTGTCTAATCAGGCCATGAATCCAACCCCTTCACTAGCAGACCTTGGGGGACATCCACAGCCTCTGGTACTCAGCAGTTATGGGGTACACAAGTCCAATAGTCTAGCAGTCAGCAAGCCCCCTTTGATAATTGAGAAATGCTATTTGGATGCAGGTTCCCAGAGAAGGAGACCCTCTGCTCAATCCCCGTGATGGAGGGTTAAAAGGAACCTCTTCTTAACTGTACAGTGTGCTCTAGCCCTATGGAGAAAGTCTTTTCCATTAGTCATGTCTAGATGTTACCCTATTTTCTAGATGAGGAGTTAGACACTTAGAGAGGTTATGTAACTTGCTAGATGTCGCACAGCTAGGTGCCTAAACCACCAGGACCAATTCTAGGTCCTCCTGCCTTGAGGCCTGCCTATCCCAGGGCACATGCCTGCCAGCTTTGGTGGCAGTTGCAGGTTGTGGCCTTGGACTGTCTTCAATAGGAGTTCACTTGTAGGCCCAAGCTAGTTTTTGGTTTGTTTTTGTCCATCTAGCAAACTAAGAATGGTTCTTACATTTTTGTAGTCATAAAACAAGGAAGAATATGCATCAGAGAATGCATGTGGCCCACAAAGCTGAAAGTATTTACCACTTAGTCCTTCACACACAAAAAAGTGAGCCCCTGCTTGTGTAAAATGTTCCCTGGGCCATTCTCCCTTGGATGTGGTTGAGGAAGTCATTGGAGCCTGTGTGTGTCTCAGCACTGGGAGACTGGCTTACTTCAGCCTGCCTTGCAGAGGTGGTGATGAAGAATGGTGTTCTGTGCTGGCTGAGGAGGGTCCAGTGGGCAGAGGGAAGAAGCGAGGGCATAGACCAGCCTGATTGTCTGCAGGCAGATGCTGGTCACCAAGCCTGGCTTGGGGCTGGGCTTGATCTGGCTCATAGGGCTCTCAGTAACATGGAATCTCTTAACCCACAACCTCAGCAGTCCCTCAGAGACTCTCTTAGTCCATTTTCTGTTACTATAACAAAATGTCCGAGAGAGGCTTATTTATAAAGAATAGAAGTTTATTTTGGTCTGGAGGCTGGGAAGCCCAAGATCATGGCACAGGGGAGGGCTTCAGATTGCTTTAATTCATAGTGGAAAACAGAAGAGAAAAGGTGAGGGCAGCCTGACTTTATAGGAATTTCACTATCACTCCCCTGAGAACTGGAAAGTCCCACAAAAGCAGCATTGATCCATCCTAATGGCCTAACCTCTTCTTAAAGTCCCACCACCTCCCAACAGTTTTGCATTTGGACTCAGATTTCGCCCTGCATTTCCTTGAGAACAAACCATAACATTCTTCAACACTCACTTGCAGCATGCAGATGGGGAAACTGAGGCCCGGGAGGGGCAGAGGCACTTGATCAGTGTAAAGACATACTCCAAGTCCAGGACTGACCTCTACTTTCCAACTCAGCCATTGCCCTTGCTCTGCTCCCAACCCTGTACTGTGTGTCATTTACCTGCCCTTTTGTCCCTTTAGTTGACATTAAAGGAAGGGCAGAGAACTTGGCTCTCAGACACTGGGATATAGAGGTGTTCAGTCTGCACAGAAAAGTGTGGGGGTCAGTACAGTTGCTCTGGGGCTGCACATGGGATGGTGATGCTGACTGACTGCCAGAGAGGACCCCGTGTCTGCTGTGGGGCTGGTTACTTGGAGAGCCATGAGAGGGAGGGAGGCTGGAAGCAGGTTAGCTCTGCAGACTGTGGGGGACACTGGAAGACCTTTTACAGAGCTCAACGACCAGAGCTCAACTCCCTGTCTGTCTCCTAGGAGGGGAAGAGGGCCAGGAGCTTGTCTTGATGAGTGAAGGGCCAAACTCCTTCACTCATCAGAGGATGTGCTGGCCACCCTCCAGCCATGGGAGTCTGGCACTGTTGCACTTACCTGACAACATCTTAGGCCTCCACCCCTGAGCCCTCCACCTCAACCCTGGCTTCTACAAAGAGACCAGTCCATGTGGCTCCCTGGAGAGCTTTCAGAGGCGGACCCTTGGGGAGAAAGCCTTTCTGGTCTCTAGTCAGTCATACATGGGCTTTGGCTGAGCAGCTCAAATATTTACAGTGCTTACAGAGAGGGGCTCTCCCGCCCACTGGCTGTTAGAAGACTTAGCTCAGGACTCAGTGATGTGAACTGACAGGGCCCCATGAACTTGGATAGGAAATAAACTGTATGCTTTTTGGTACTCAACTCTAACTAACAGCATTTCCTTCAATTACACAAGAGGCAAAGCAAAGCCCCTCTGTTATTTGTAGGGCCTGGCACTTTGTCACGTATTTTTAGGTCACATTGCAGCTGTCACAACTATCTTGAAGTGTCATGTATGCCCAACACAATTTCAAACTAAGGCAGTAAGTAGACCCAGGGTTAGATAATATGATCTACTGTGTTAATGAAATGGTGAGGGTGTATGAACTTGATTTAGTATTTCATAACTAGGGCTTAATGTAATTGGTTTACTTTAATTCTTTGCATTTCATTCTCAGCATTTAAAGCCTTTATTCTGAGGGGTTCATGGCAAAGGCTAAGTGCGCCCCTGCCCCAGTTTGTGGCTTATCTACCTGTAGCCACACGTGCTCTGTGTGCAGCTGCCTCTTGTCCTGAGCACTACTTTGGGGCAGAAATGGTGTCTACTTATTTTCTGCTGTGGCTGCAGCCTCGGTCGGGACTCAGCACTGTGTTAAATTCCTGTGTGTTGCATTGAATTGATGAAGAATGGTTTGGCAACAAACTGAACTGCGAGTTCAGTCTGAAGCTCATCTGAGGGTGGCTGCACCCTGCACACCCTGTGCTCCACGTGACGGACCTCTGGGCCATCAAAACAGTGCCTCCAGGCTACAGGCATTTCCAGCAACAGGGTTACAGCAAACTCACTCACTGCCTTTAGTGATCTGAGGCATGCTTCCCCACTACCCTGACATCTGAAACTCCAGGAAGTGCCTTTCATCTCTGCACTCCTTGCTTTATAAAAATAAAAGCAGAACTTTTGGAAGCCAGACAAGACACACACTAGCCAACAGTTTAGAGCCACAATGCACCAATCTGAATGCCTGCACACTCGAATGTGCTTTTCAAGAGACATTCAGACACCAGGAGTAGCTGCAGGGAGCATATTAAGTTGTTACAGAAAGTAAAACAGCTCTAAAAGTAAAACAACCATTGGGGATGAGCTCTGGATCCTGTAATCCAGGATGCACAGCTCCCAGCCTGCTCCCAGCTCTGGTCTCTCAGAGCCAGCCATCTGTGTCCTTTGGCCCTGCGTGACTCTGATGGCCTCTCTCCATTTTTCTTTATCTTTGAAGAGTTCTCCTTTGAAGGTTCATCCACCCAGCGCTGCTGGGGATGGTTGTCCAGATTCCCAGCCAGAGTTTGTTGAGCAATCACCCAACAGCTGAGAAGAAAGAAACAACAAGCAAGTTAGCTAACATTCAGAAAGGTTTTGTTTTTTTTTTTTAATTGTAAAGCAATGGTTGCCCTTTCTGGAAAATTCACAAAGTGACTAAAAGAAAAGAAAAAATGCACATGGACCGACTAGTGGCGGGACTTCCTAACCTTTTTCTGTGAGCGGAGTTTTTGTTGTTGATTTTTTAATTTTGCTTTTATTAGGTTTTTTTTTTTTTTTGGTATCACACCCTCAATAGTTTCCTTCACAAGTTCATGTTAAGCTTATATTTTGTTGGCTTTGTAATAATCTCAAAAGCAAGTGTACTGTCATTTACTGAACCTGTTATTGGGTGTATAGGTTGTTTCCAGCTTTGTTTTGCCGTTTTACATAACAGCATGAGGGAGTTTTTCGTTTGTTAGATTTTGTGCCTGTTCTGGGCTACTTCAACAACATTGGGCTTACTCTGTGCAAGGCACCCTGGGAGACTGGAGAATAAGCCAGACACAATCCCTTCATGAAATTCAGATATAAATAACCTTAATCCAAAGCAGGCTATAGCTGTGATTGGCAGACAATTAGAAACTGGAGTGCAGAAGAATTGTGCCTGGGCTTAATGGAATTTTGAAAAAGTCGCATGAGAGAATCGGAGGTTTTGCATTTTCAACCCAGGGTAAGGACAGAAGTGGCCCTCCAGCTAAGGGAGTTAGTGTGGATGGTGACCTGCCCCAGCAGGCAGGTGTCACTTAAGGCAGGAGGAGCAGGTGGGCTTCATCTCAAATGCGGGGTCACGCAATGGCCGGTGGCTCCCAGGAGTACAGTGCGGGTTGGGGGGAAAGGGGGATGAGGGGGGTGGGAACATGGGCAATGTCTGCTGGGGACCCTAGTTGGTGAGAAATGGGGGTGACATACCAGCTAACATGGTCAGCCCCAGCCTGAGATATTAACCTTGGGGGAGCGCCAAGCTCCTGTGGGATCAGCTGATGCCAAAAATTGTCTTTCTGAAGTCTCTGATCCACTCACATAAAGATTTGGGGTCACCGATGTCTCAGACTGTGTGCTTTGAGATCCTTGTTTGATGGGCCTTCCACCTGAGGTCATAGGCAGGAATTGCCCTTGCCCCCAAGCTGGAGAAAAGGGGAGCAGGGAGGCTGTGGGTAGAGGAGGGTCCCTGCAGCCTAGCGCCCTGCATGCTCCCCTGCTCCTGCAGCGAGAGGCCAGCCCTGTTTCCTTCGCTGCCCATTTCTAGTCCTTACGTGCTTTGACTGTTGCCTCCACCATATTGCCCAGTTGGGAGCAGCAGGAGGAGTGTCGGTGACAGGATACACACTGCTCAAGGCCTCTCTGCAGCTCCTGCACGATTGGCATTCTGCCTGACCTCTGTGGTCCTTCCTCAGTCCCACAGGTGCCATGTCGCAGCAGACCCAGGAGGGCTTCAACAGGAGCGTGGAGGACGCCCAAGCATGGATGAAGGCCATTCATGAGCGGCTGGAGATCAACGACAACACCCATGGGCCCCGCGCAGCCCTGGAGGCCAGGCTTCGGGAGACAGAGGTATGCAGAGGCCTGACCTTGGCTGGCACTGTGGCCTTGGCCATGTCGTCTCCCCCTTCATCTGGGACTAGCCTGTGTTTTTCAAACTCTGACTGCTATACATACATCCTGGAGATTTTGTTTAAATGCAGTCTGATCACGTGGGTTAGAGCAGAGCACTACTGTGGATCTACACTTTGCTCATAAGGCACTAGAGTCTATCCTCTGGACTCCCATCCCAGCTGGGGCACTTACACAGCCAGGTGGCTTGCCTAGCTCCTCTAACACAGGCCTCGCTCCCACCCTTTCCCTGTCTCCTTGAGCTGAGGTTTCTGCCAAGTCAGGGACAGGGTTCTATCCAGTGACAGGAGTGATTGCCTGAGCATCTTCTGAGACAGGGTTCAGCTTTACCCAGCCACCTGAACATGTCCATCCCCAAGGGCCTCAGTCCATGCAGTATTAGCTAACTAGAAGGGCAGGTGCCTGGCCTGGTGTCATGTGCCTCCACCTGAGGGTGGGCTGTCTGTGGCCAGGGGACAAAGGGGATGAATACAAAGAGTCACAGACAAAGAGTGTCTAGTGACTTCCTCCAAGCCCCTGTCCTTCTCTGGACTTCAGCTTTCCTATCTGTAAGTGAAGCAATTGACTTAGACACCCTGGGGTTACATCCATTTAGAAATCCTGTAATTCTAACTATCATCTAATAGCAGTGGCTCTTAAGGTGAGGTGACTCTTAAGGCTCAGTCCACCTGGAGGCTCTCTTGGATTTCCCCAGTCCCTTCTTGTGCTCCCATGTGACTTTTTCTTCTTTTTTTTGGCAATACTAGGGTTTGAAGTCAGGACCTCATGCTTGGGAGGCAGGCGCCCTACCACTTGAGCCTTGCCTCCAGCCCTTTTTGCTTTAGTTTATTTTTCAGATGGGTTTCCAGCCTTTTATTGTAGTTTTACAATACTGGGGTTTGAACTCAGGGCCTACACCTTGAGCCACTCCACCCGCCCTTTTTTGTGAAGGGTTTTTTTTTTTTTTTTTTAAAGATAGGGTCTTTAGAACTATTTCCCAGGACTGGCTTTGAAACTTGATCTCTGCCTCCTGAGTAGCTAGGATTACAGGCATGAGCCACTGGTACTGGCTGGTCTCCAGCTTTTTGTCTGAGGCTGGGCTGAAACTGAGATCCTCCTACTTCTGCCTCCTGGGTAGCTGGGATGACAGGCATGAGCCCAGAAGGATCGTTTTGCAGTCATCTGGGCTCTTGTCTCTGGTCCTCCCTCCGTCCAGCCTGGAAGTGCTGGGCTGAGTCTTATTGGTTCAGGAACACAGTGCCCAGCTTATGGTTAGCTGACCTTGGCTGTGTTGAAAGGAAGCTTAATAAACCCCATTCCTCCAGCTTTCTGGTCTCCTGACTCTTTTCTCTGCTGAGCTTCGCCCCTCATCCAATCCCCACCTTACTCTCATTGCCTTCATTGACTGCATCCAATCAGAATGACTTTGTGGCTTAAGGCTAAGCAACTCCTTCCTGATTGGCTGAGTAGCCATGGCCTTGCTCTCCTGAAACACATCCTTGCTGGTGGCAGACATAAAGGAACCTCACACCAGTCAGAGCCTAGCCATCAATTGAGGGGGATGGGTGGATCGACTTCCAACTCTGGCTCTGCCTGCTCAGGGATCAGACATGGCCTGGGCCTCCTGGCCCCAGGCCCCAGGAGACATCCTGCTTGTTCACATTGCAGTCATGTGTATCTGCTCTGTGTCAGATGCAGCCAGGTGTTCTGTCTGCCTTGGGGACAGGGCAGCTCCTCTCCTTCTGCACAGAAGTATCCAGCTAGAAAAGGGCAGAGGGTCCCTCCAAGTCCAGCCTGTTCCTCCCTCAGAAGAGATTGGAAGGACAAAAGTCCAAGGCTGGGTGAGACCACAGAATAGGACACTGGGCTTTTCACAGAAGACCTCCCCAGCCTGCTCTGGCTCCTTAGTGGATGTGGCAAAGAGAGATGGAATTTCGCTCAGTTTCCTGGGATTGCTGGCTTCCTGATTCACAGAGCCACACTCCACCCCAGCTCAATCTGGGCAGGTCTGCTGCAAAGCTGGTGGATCCTGTGGTTCCCCCACCGCTCTCATTTGTGAAAGTGGATTGCGTGTCCCAACATATGGCTCCTCCTTTGCTAGTCTGGAAGTCAGAGATAGCATCTCCTTAATTGCTCTTCTTAAATCATATCAAGCTCTGTCTGGATGGCAGGAAGTTCATCCTCGGCTATGTGGAGGCACCCTGCTCCTGAGTGGTGTGCAGTGTTGCATGTATGGGTGGGTGATGATAACTCAATTCAGAACGTTCTGCAGTGACCTTTGGCTTTTCAGTCTACACTGGCCATGATGTGTTTTGAACTTTCCCATTGCAGCTGGCTGCTGAGCTGGACATGGAGGCCCTTGTCTGGGCGCTTTCTGCAGCCACTGCTCTGGGGGACTCAGCCATATCCTGCTACCTGGCCAGATGCAACCTCTTCCTTGTTTGGGGGTATCTCTTCATTCTGTTCTTCACTCTGCTGGTTCCCTTCCCCCTGTGCACGCAAAGACAGCAGAGGGAGGAGCTTGTTTAGTCCATGCTGTGCTAGCACAAATGGACAGGAAGTCCCTCTACGCTATATTATCACCATCATCATCATTGTCATCACTGATAACTCTCCTTATATGGAGAAATGAAAAGGTTGGGACCACCGCCCATTTGCACAAGTCAGGGGAGTGTCTATATAGCCGATCAACAGTTTACGAAGTACTTATGTTTTAATCAATGATTTTTATAGTTAATATGTGAGATGAACAAAGCAGGGATTGTTATCTTGAGATTGTTGGAATTGTTGTCTTGAGATAAGAAAGGGAGGCACAGAATAGTTGACTGACCTGCTTGGGTCACACAGCTGTCAGAGGGCAAGGCATTTGACATGTCGGAAACCCTACTCCTCTCATCCACAGAGAAGGGTCAGAGAGACAGCCAGGCCACCAGAACATCAGTGAGAGAAAACTGACTGCTGGCTCCCAGGAGACAGGCTGGGGAGCTGAGATGGCGTTTTAGGCAAATAAGAGCCGTTGCTGACAGCCAAAGTGTGGGCAGGCAGTGGGTTAACTGCTGTCCTGTGGTACCTGATGCTTACTATAGCCCTAGGCCCATGGACAGCATAACCACTACCTCTCCTTTCATAGGCCTGGAGTTCATAAGTCAAAGGTCACAATGGTAGGCGGGAGTGGTGCTGGAAATGGTTTAGTTGTATTTGACTACAGAGACCAAGCTTATGCCAAGGAGCTGGGGTCCCATGATGGCGACGACTCATGTTAACTAGAGACTTCCTTGTGTGGTAGGTGTGGTCCTCAGAGAAGCCAATGTCAAAATGAGATGAAACATGCCAAGCGTGTATTATGGAGATGCCCGTGAGAGGTGATGGAGGGAACCAGGAGAGGCTAGGAGATACGGAAGAGGTATCACCTGAGGGCCCAGAGTGAGGGGCAGAGCAGGGAGGGCTGGGTAGAGGCATCTCCGGCCTCCATGGCTTCTTGAGGGGTTTGGCCTTGAAGTAGTCCCCCACCAAAGGACTCCCACGTGTCCAAAGAGTGGACCTGCCATGCGCCTCATCACTGGTGGGAGCAGCTGTGGGATCAGGGCCTTGTGCAGACAGCAAAGCTGAGTTGCTGGCTCCAAAGCTCTTTCTGGACAGGGCCCACGCTAGGTCCCTGTAGTAGACCTGAGAGGTGGCACCACCCAGCCATAAGCACTGTGACACTTTCTCTTTTCACTTTGAGAGGTAGACACTATTTTCTTTATTTTTTAAATTGTTGGACTGGGGGTACATTGTGACATTTACAAAAGTTCTTACAATATGTCATAGTTGAATTCAACCCCTCCATCATTCTCCTTTATCCTCCTCTCCCCCATTCCTGGAATAGTTTCAACAGGTCTCACTTTTCTGTTTACATACCTGAGTACATATATTTCCACCACATTCACCCTCCTTCACCCCTTCCTTATTTCCTCCTCCCCGCTCCCACTGTTACCAGCTTCCCAGACAGGACCTGTTTTGCTTTCCTGTTCTCTGGGTAAACACTGTTAATGACACTATGGCATGAATGAGAAAACCAAGTCTCAGGAGAGAACGAAAGATGTCACATCTAGAAATGGGCCCAGTGGGGAGGTGGGCGCACTCTCAGTACAGGCTAGGCAGGGCTGGGTTGACCAGGGTTCCTCCTCCTACCCAGGGAGCTGTCTACAGGTGCCTCAGGTCACAGAAGAGGGGGTACAGGTGGTCATTTGAGCCCTGGCCTTATCTGACCTGGAAGTTGTGGCTCTTTGTGTCATGCCAGAATTCCCAAGGCTGTGTCCACTTGCATTTTGCTTAATCCAGTTTGTGTCCACACAGAAAATCTGCCAGCTGGAGCCTGAGGGGCGTGTGAAGGTGGACCTGGTGCTGCGGACAGCAGAAGCACTCCTAGCATTCTGCCATGACGACCAGAAGCCCGAGATCCTGGCTCGGCTGAGAGACATCAAGGCACAGTGGGAGGAGACAGTCACTTATATGACTCACTGCCACAGGTAGGACTGCCAGGCCCATGTCTATAGCCACCGCTGACCTTTCTTGCCAAACACCATCCCAGCTGAGACCGCCAGTCCTGGGATCCCTAGGAACAGGATGTCCTCTTGGGATTGGGGCCAGCCCCGCCTGGCTCTTTCTCATTATGGTCTAGCTTAATCATGGTAACAGGCTCTGGGAACCCATCGTGTTTTGCCAACAAGTCTTAATGGGTTCTCATGCGTGTATTCTCCAGCACAATGGCAGAATGGCTCTGGCATAAGAGGTCCTGGCCACGCAAGTACATTAGACAGGCAGTCTCCCTGGACCAGGGAGCCAGGTCATGGGGAGACACAGAGGCTCAGACAGACCTAGTGTTAATTCCTGCCCTGTTGGTTTCTTCCTGTGTGGCCTTGGGAAATTTGTTTCACCTCTCTGAGCCTTAGATGCTTCCTCTGGCCAATGGGGATAATCAAGTGGACCTTGAAGGTAGGGAATGTCAAGAGCAAGGCACCATGCTTGGGGCACAGCAGTGCCAGGAAGCAAAGTTGTGCTGCACAGAGGTCTCTGCCCTCCAGACCCTTTCATTTGAAATACCAGACAAAATGGCCTGATGTTAACAGGAAAGAGAGAACCCTCTTCATGTTACAGATGGGGAAACTGAGGCAGGTGAAGAGGCACGGTTACCTTGAGAGTTTATGGCATGGCTTCCAGTCTTCTGTCCCCACTTGGTGGTAACTAACTAGGTCACACATACAGCTGTGCTCTGCACATTATTAGGCACAGTCCCTGGCAATCTCCTTCTGTCTTCTAGCAGACAACATATGCTAAGGACCTGGGGCCATTGTGTGTGTGCAGAGTCCCAATGCCAGTTAGATGTGCTTGGAGGGATCTGTGCACAAGAGTGGGAGTTCAGGGCCAGAATCTGGTGTTTGAGTGGCTAATGGCTGCCTGAGATGTTTCACCTGGGCTGCTGGTTCTCAGGACACATCTGGGATCTGAGGTGTGGCCTTACCTGGGAGCTTACATTCAGGACAGGAAGGTCTCATCCTGTAGGATTGAGGGAGAGTCTGAAACCTGGTGTGTCCACCAACTTTCCAAGTGACTGTAGGCACAGCTCATCACACAGCCCCCAGTATAGGAGAGGGGGACTATGGCAGGGCCTCCTTGCCCAGCAGCCATGGGATGGTTCCCTGATGGCCTGGTGGTCCCTGTGTCCACAGCCGCATCGAGTGGGTATGGCTGCATTGGAGCGAGTACCTGCTGGCCCGAGATGAGTTCTACCGCTGGTTCCAAAAGATGATGATCACACTGGAGCCCCAGGTGGAGCTGCAGCTGGGCCTGAAGGAGAAGCAGTGGCAGCTGAGCCATGCCCAGGTCCTACTGCACAATGTGGATAATCAGGCTGTGCTCCTGGACCGACTGCTGGAGGAGGCAGCCTCCTTGTTCAACAGGATCGGGGACCCCAGCGTGGATGAAGACGCCCAGAAGAGAATGAAGGCTGAGTATGATGCAGTGAAAGCCAGAGCCCAGGTGAGGCTTAAAGGGCAGCTCTGTACCTACCCATCTGCTATCTACCCTGCCTCCTATCCAGCTACCCATTTGTCCATCAGCAATCTGTTTATTTATCCTTTCACTCTCCACTTACCCACCCACCTACCATCCAACTATCCAACTACCAATCATCCATCTACTCACCCATCCAGCCACCATCCATCCATCTACCTATCTACCCACCCACTGTCTATTCATCCACACATCGACCATCCTTCCACTTACCCACCATCCATCCATCTATCCATCTACTGACCCATCCATCCATCCATCCATCCACCTATCCACCATCCATCCATCTCTCCATCCCCTTCTACCCACTCTTCTAGCCACCTGTCTGCCTGCTTACCTCTCCATTATACCTCCCATTTACCTCCCTCCTGTATTATCAAACCTTCCATTCACTACCCACCACTTCTATACCCACTCTTATATCCATCTCTTTACACAATCTTCCGTCTACCTCCCCACCAAACTAACCAATCTCCTGTTCATCTATCCTACCACTTATCCACCCACCCACCCGTCTACTTACTCACCTACCTGTTAACTCACCCACCTCTTCATCTACCCATTCACTCATCCAACTCTTCTACCGACCTCTTCACCCATCATCTTCTCACTTCTTATCGACTATCTTCACCCACATGTTTACCCTCAACCTAACTACCTGTCCACCAACCCCTCATCTACCCATCCATTTATCCTCCCACCATCTGCCCATCCATCTCCCCATTTCCCATACAAGAGTTGCTCAGGTCTTCACATGCATATGGATGCCCAGCACACCTGGGTTAACTGTCGGACTGATGGACTGTGGTGTTCATTTTCACCAAGCACCTTCCCTCCTGAACTTTTCTCCTTCCTTCTTTCCCTTCTCTTCCTCCCCTTTAGTCCTTCCCCTTTGGCCCCTCTAACCTGGCCCTAGCTGTTCTCTCTTACCCTTGGCCCAATTCTTCTGCCAATCCTTTCTCTGCCTTCTCTCACCTCATCCTTGCCTTGATTTTGAAACAGTTCACTAAGTTATTAAGTTCAATTATTATTTTTTTAGAAATTCTTTTGGTTGTTTATTATGTCTGCCTATTTTTTTAAAAAAAAATTATATCGTTTTTGCCTGCAAATGTGCCGCTTAACCATATAGGTTATATATAGGTAATATTTTTAATCCTTGTGTGCACACATGCCTCCATCAGATTGGTGAAGTAGCTGAAGCTCCAGGGTCTGTTCTATTGTCACTGTGTCTTCTAGTGGGATAGATTGCTTCCTTGGGGGCTTCGTGTGCTTGAGTCATGAGCTTTTCCCAATCGGGACTTTGTCTGCAACCCCCATGGTTGGACCCTGCCCTTCTGTAGCAACCCTGCTGCAGGTTTTTACTGGAAACTCATCTTCATGACTTCTGTTTCTGTCAGTGTGCTGACTTGGGGGTTCCTGAATCAAGTTCTCTAAACTTGAACTTCACATCAAAATTGTGCCTCAGCCCCTGGATCCGTGTTCTGAAAGATGAACTGGTTTTGTTTGTTGTTTGTTAAGTCTAAGGCACACGGCTTCCTTCTCAGACTGTGTTTATAAGAAGTGTGTTTTGTAGGCAGCCTCTCAGGGCTCTACCTCTCTGCAGGGGTCTCTGATTCTTCTGGACTTGAAGTCCACACCCACTGCGGCTTGCATGGCAAACCCCAGCTTCCGTGCTCCAACAACCTTCCATTTCCTCTTCTCTGCACCCTGTCCTAGGGGCTCTCTGCTCATTGGCACAAGCCCCTGTCTTCTACAAAGTCAGAATGAAGGGGCCTGGGGCCAGGCTCCCTTCTGCTCCTGACTGGAGGGACAGACTGGAGAATCACTGTTAAGCTGAGACATAAGTGCAATGCATGTTTAACAGGCTGGTGTCCAGGTAGCTGCCTCCTATCCAGCTACCCATTTGTCCATCAGCAATCTGTTTATTCACCCTTTCACTCTCCACTTACCCACCCACCTACCATCCAACTATCCAACTACCAATCATCCATCTACTCACCCATCCAAGCACCATCCATCCATCTAGCATCTTCTGCTCTGAGGGGATGTCCCTTCCTCTGATATGTGTGACCTGCAGCTTAGCAGTGCGTGTTCTGTCTTCCCCATATTCTCATTGTTTGAAGTGGGAGGCAGTCACTTATCTACTCTTCCACCATACTGTTCTGTAATAAGCAGTGATGGGGAATCCATCAGGGGAAGACTCTGGGCCTGAATGCTTGCAAAGGGACTGGTTCAAAGCTAGGCTCTGCTGTTTTCCCACAATGTGACCAGGTTGCAAGGGCTGGATGTGCCAGCTCTTTGAAAACTGGCCAGCATTTTCCAACGTAAATGACAACCTCCACTCTTACTAGCAGTGAGAATAAATAGCAACAGCATCCATGCTTGACATATAGCAGGTGCTTGGGGCTTTTTAAAAAAAATGGTACTGGGGTTTGAACTCAGGGATTCATTCTTGCTAGGCAGGCACTCTACCACTTGAGCCACTCCACCAGCCCTTTTTTGTGTTGGGTATTTTCCAGATAGGATTTCTCAAACTATTTTGCCTGAGCTGGCTTTGAACTGCTATCCTCCTGATCTCTGCTTCCTGAGTAGCTTGGATTGCAGGCATGAATCACTGACTGGGACTACTTATTGAGTTAATGAGGGGTGAAGACAAGCCACCCCAAGATCCCAGGGGAAGGAGCTGTCCCAGGCAGCTGCATAGGGGTCAGGATGGATGAGCGAGGTAGAAATTGGGTTTGTCTCTTACGGTATTTGGTTGGCCTCCCCTGGGCCTGCCTTGTCCCAAGTGGCCAGGAAAGGCTTAATAGTGATTCTCTCTCCAGTCTGTCCCTCCAGTCAGAGCAGAAGGGAGCCTGGCCCCAGGCCCCTTCATTTTGACTTTGTAGAAGACAGGGGCTTGTGCCAATGAGCAGAGACCCCCAGGACAGGGCGCAGAGAAGAGGAAACGGAAGGCTGTTGGTACACAGAAGAGTGTGTGGAGGGCGGATCGAGGTGCTAGGTGAGGCCAGTTCTGGCCTCCATGTATAAATCATTACCTCAAGAGAGTCTCATTATGATTCTAAGAGGACTCTTCCCAAAACACCTGCAGAAATCACCACTTTTACCTGTAAGCACTCTCTTTTCTAAGCCTTTTCCTGTCTCTGACCTCACTGTATTCCCCAACTTTCTTGTGAAGTAGACATAAAAGATGCTACTTGGCTCATTTTGTTAAAACAAACTAACAAAAAAGTTGTAAGGGCCAGACACCGCTGGCTCTCTAGAAAGAGCCAGATGTTCTAGGTGACCGCCAAGGTGGGCTCAGGTCCAAGGCACATCATGGCACCTTATGCAAAGCCCTGCACCTCTAGTACTTCCCCTGGTCAGACTGGGAAGGTGGAAGACAGTGGTGAGTGGGAGGTGGAGCCCCTGGAATCAGGAGCACTTGCTTCCTGGGTTCTCAGAAGACCACCCCCCTCCCCAAAGAGGCCCAGCCGGGGCAGAAGGCAAAGCCTTCTTCCACCCTGGGAGGAACCATAGCTGGGGTGCAGAGGAGTCAGCCTTCTTGGTGGAAGTGGAGCCCCCTAAGTTGCCAGGCAGAGCTGTTGGTCCAGTCCCAACATGGAAATGGGGTACTTGAAGCATGAGGTGGGGTGACTGAATCCTGTGACCAGAAGTGAGTTCTCTTTGGCTTTTTCTGCTGCTGGCTGGAGCCCATGACCCTTGATTGGTTTGGAAACATTTCTGACCTGTTCCGGCTTTGGACAGGGACTTTTCACTCTAGATGGGGAGGGAGGCAGAACCATGAAGAAGCATCTCCCAGAGGTGGAGCATGGGGACCTTGGAAGTCACACTCAAGTCTGTGCCTGTGCATTTGTCTGCATCAAGGAGCCACGTTTTCCATCAGATTCCTACAGGGTCCATGACCTTCAGAAGATAGAGAAACTCCTAAGGGATAAACTTTGCAAAAGATGAGACGTCTATGCCCCAGGTCTTCTTGAGTACAGTAGGATCTACCCCAGGCACTGCCAACCTTCCAGCCCTGGACAGAAGGAAAGTGCTCTGGCTTCATGTCTAGCCGTGATCAAAACAGTGGCCCAGATGCCTCCTGGTCACCTGCCCTGCAAGCTTGATGAAGACCTCACTTTGTGTGAAAACATCTCAAATGACAGGGCAAAGCCCTGTAGAATCAGCATTGTATCTTCCTGGGGTCTTGCCTCACCTCAGGGTGGAAAGGGTAGGGACATTTTACGTATTGACACCTTTATTTTCATTGGTGCGAGCCCATTTCCAATAACCCTCTTCCAATAAGCCCTGTTTTACCTATAAAATCTATTTTCATAGACACCTAACGTGAATTAGCAAAGTTTCCGGTATGGTGGAGACAGGATCTCACCCCACTCTGATGATGGTCTTTGCGATCACTGCTGGAGGGGCTTCTTGGTCAGGGCAGCAGGCTAAGTATAGATGTGATCATTACTACGAGTCCGCCCAAAGCATTGCAGAGGGAAGGACAGACAGGCAGGCAGGCAGGCTGATGCCAGGCACGGCTAGTTCATTTGTTTTTATACCACGGCTTCCCATTTCCAAAGCACCAGGCAAGTAACGGCATCCTCATCTCTGGCCCTCAGAGAATGGATGTTTGTCTGGCATCTCGCCATGACTCAAGCCTCCATGCAGCCTTCTGCATCAACATAAATCCACCCTGCTTTTGCTAATTGCTTGGGTTTTGACATTCCTGACAACTCTGCCAGCCACGGATGGTTTAATTGTTTGGTCTAATGAGAAGGCGGGGCCCTCTCCCATTCGTCACTCCTGTCACCCTCCCGTTGGCTGCTAGACTGTGCTCTGTGATTGCTGCGCCTGGCACACGTCTCATCTGGACTCCTGCCTGCCGCCACTCCTCACAAGCGCCTGCTCTCCATCATGAAGGCTTTTATTTACTCTGGACTTCGCTGGGTGCCAGCACCTCATCGTTCACACACGCGGAGCCTTGGGAGAGAGTTCAACTCCCTCTCACATTCATCACCATCAGCCTCAACTGGGGTCAGACTCAGCCTCTGTGGGCTCCTCCTGACCTACTGGGCTCCATAGATGGGCCTTTCCTGGGGGCGGAGGATGGACTGGGAGGGTTCCAATGGATGCAAATAGTCCTGCAGGAAAGGGGAGCAGTGTGGGAGCACAAGAGGCTCCTGCACCTTCCTCAGGGTCACAGGTGGTGACATGAACCGGCTGCTCCATTGCAGATCCACTTCTGGATGCAAGCAGTTCTTGTTTTTAGACACTTCTTGGCTCTTCTCTACAGGAATGAGGAGTTTTTCTCCTGCCTGCTATATCTGTTTCAAAAGTTTAAATGAATTAGTATTTCTAGATTTTGAGGAGTGTCACAAAGGATGACACAGACCAATAACAGGAAGGTTCTTGGATCAACTTGCCTGTCCACTCCTCCTCATGGAGAAACTTTCACTCAGCTTCCCTGATGTAGGGTCATCCTGGACACAGCCTCACTCCATGGAAAAACCAAGGTCAGCAAGCCAAAACCCAAGTTCCGAGCTCAGCCTGTTTGGTTGTTGGATGGCTTTGAGCCATACAAGGATTTTCCCATTTTTAAAAGGGGGGAAAAAAAATTAAAAGGCGAATACTCCACAGTGTGTGAAAATGACACAAAATCCAAGTGTCTACAGTGGAAGTCTGATAGGAACACTACCAATCTTTGCATATTGTCTAGAGCTGTTTATGTAAGTGGGTGAGTGACAGCCTCAGAAGCCTTATGGCCGCCAAAGTCAAAAGAGCTCCTCTGGAAACAGTCTGCAAAGTCTGGCCTTGATCAGTGATCTAGGAGGCTGACGTCACTTGCTGTTTGAATCTCAAAGCTGTAGACATCCCACCTCTGGGGAAGGCATTTGCAAGAGGGCGTGTTTGGTGATGTTTGTGAGTATTAAATATGCTAACTCTTGTTGAGATCCAGCCTACAGGTGCTTGCTAACGAGACTCCCCTCTCCCTTTTCTTGATTTTCCTGCAAAACAAATCCTTAGTCAGACTTTTCATTACTGTGAAAAAATACCTAACATAAACAACTTTTTTTAAAAATCAGTGTCTTTGAGACAGGGTTTCTCTTTGTAGTCCAGGCTGGCCTTGAACTCCCAGTCTGATATAAACAACTTAAAGAGAAGAAGAAATTTATTTTGGCTCATGGTTTCAGATGTTTCGGTCTATCATGGCAGGGAGGATGGGTAGAACAGAGCAGCTCACATCCTAGAGGCCAGTATGCAGAGAGAGGGAGGGAGAGAGAGAATGCCTGTGCTCATGGGCTATCTTCCTTTCCCCCTTTTATTCCACTTGGACCCCTACCCTGTGGGATGCCATACCCAGATTCAGGTCTTCCCCCTCACTTACTGCTTTCTGGAGATTCTCTCACATACCCAGAATTGTGCTTTGCTAATATCCTAGGCATTTCAATCCAATCAAGGTGAGAGTCAAGGTTAACCACCACACCCTCTGAAGGGAGACACTGCTTATCTCTCCTTCCTGACACTCAGGAAGCACACCTGGGGCCTGCCCTGAGCTGAGCCCCAGGAGGTGACTTAACAAGGGGCAACTATGTCCATAGGGACTTTTGGCTCCCCCAGCAGTGACAATTAGGTAGACAGATGCTGGGATAGAGGTGTAGGTCACTGTTCTGGGGACACCAAAGGAAGTTTGTTAAGTCAGCGTGAGGCAATCAGCAAGGCTTCAGAGAAACAAGGTGGGGCCTGATGGTCAGCTGTGCCCAGTGGGCACCTGCTGAGGCACAGTGGCATGAGCACAGGGAAGCAGGAGAGGATAAACAGTGCCCACAGCTATTAAGTGTTTATTAGCTGCCAATCCCTCTTCTTGGGGTGGCACAGACAGACTTATCTCACCTCCTGCACCCCAATGAGGCAGCTCTTGTTATTAGTCACACCATAGAGATGAAGAGCTGGGCACGGGGGGTGGGGGGTGGCTCATGACATGCCCAAGGAGGGGCAGGGCTCCAGACATAGGCAGTGGCCCCCAGGACCATGGTTTTGACTGCTGGACCACAGAGGATCTGCCTTTGGACCAGGATTCTGGGCGTGCACTTGAGCCTGGGGGCAGTGGGTAGCCATGAAGAGGTCTAAAGAGACAGTACTATGATCAGAAGTGTTTTGAATAACAGAGTCTGTAGAAGCACGGTGAGTCTCATAGCAGGGACACTGTCTTCCCCTCAGATGTCACTGATTCTTGGGACACTATCCTGCCCCTGGGTAGTTAGACCTTCCATGGAATTGGCTGAAAACAGAGAAGACATTTTTGTCACAATTGGGTGTTTCTAGTGGGTGGAGGCCAGGGAGGTTGCTCACACCTTGTGATACCCCACAATAGAGAACCATCTGCCCAAATGCCAGCAGCGTGGGGGTGAAGAGGCCTGGGTAGGCAGCAGGCCTGCTGGAAGCGTCGTCACCACATTCATGGGGGTAGGAAGAGAAGGCAGCATGTCAGCTGTGCAGACCATGTAGACCCTGTTGTTGATCAGACTTAGGCCCAGCCTTGCCTGCTGGGTTTGCATCTCGGGTTGTCCTAGCTGGGTGACCTTGGACAAGTCACTTCACCTTTCTGAGTGTGGGTGTCCTCCTCTGTCAAACTGGGATAATGATGGGAGAGTTCAAGGAGCTCGGGATGGAAAATTCACCGTAGTGAGGGCTCAGACAGCAATCCGCGGTAGTGCCGTTCTCATTATCACTGTTCCCATATACCAGTCCACTGCCACTCCTCAGACAAGGCAGAAAGAACAATAGCTGTAGCAATGACAGGCACTGGTGCCAGCATACGTGGGTCTCCAAACCCAAGTCTCCTGGTGTGGTGCTGATTAGGGAGAGCAGTGTGGATTTCTGTCTCTAGTGCGGAGTGGTTGTATCTTTGACACGCACACATATACTCACACATCCACGTAGGTGCACACACACTAGGCAAGCTGTAGGTTTTCTGGCCTCAAAAGCTTGGGAAGCTGGGCTGTGGACCTTCATGGCAGGTGTCTCTCTCCTCTGTAGGACCGGGTGGACCTGCTAGTCCGGGTGGCCTGGGAGCACGAGCAATACCAGGCAAGTGTGGACGAGTTCCAGCTGTGGCTAAAGGCAGTGGTGGAGAAGGTGCACAGCTGCCTGGGGCGGAAGTGCAAGCTTACCACGACACTCCGCCTCTCTGCGCTGCAGGTAAGCCCGCATGTCCCAGCCACAGGGTCCCAGGGCTCTGCTGAGGCAGTGCCCCAGGCTGCAGTTCATTTAGCAGGACAGGACAGTGTGGGTGTCATGTGAGACACAGACAGTCACAACACACAGACCCTGTCCCCCTGTGAGGAGAAGCAAGGGATATTTTGTTTGTCACAACTGGTAAGCAGAGGCCAGGGAGGTTGCAGAACACACGATTTTGCTCAGAGTAGCACCGTAACATTCCAAATGTCAGTAGTGGCCAGGTGACGAGCCCTGGGTTGACCGTCGGGAGAAGTCAAGTTCACTCTGGCTTTTGCACTTGCTGCATGGCCTTGGAGGAGCCTCCAACTCCCTCTGCCAAGTGAACTCATAGATTATCTTCAATAACTCAAGAACTACTTCTAACTTTTGTCACAACTGTGTGGCACCTGTACTGTGTCTTTAGTATGTGTATTTAAATCCACTCACCTTTTGAAACTGAACATAATTTAGAAAGAGGTTAAGTCACTGTCATAAAGGGAAAACCCAGTGCCATTCATAACTAGTACCTAATCGTACCAATAAAGACAGTGGAACCAAATGGCACCCGAGGTTCTACTTGGCTCCGTAGTGCTGTCCACTGATGGCTCTGAGCCTGTTTGCTTAAAAGGAAGATTAACAAATGGCCGAAAATGCTGAAGACAGAGAAACACCTAATAGAGACTTTCTCCTTGACTTAATCAAATGGCTTCAGAAAGGCTCCAGAGGTAACTCCATGTGACCTAGGTACACAGTCCACCCCTTGGGAAGGCCCTTGGGCTCTAACTTGACAATGTAGAAATTAGCATTTTGCCTACATTCTGAGTCTGCTCTGAAAAATGCAGCAAGAATTTGCTTTTTGCCTCCTCTGTTTCCTCATCACTTCCCCTTCCGCCCCCTTCAGGACATCGCCAAAGATTTCCCCAGGGGTGAGGAGTCTCTGGGGAGACTGGAGGAGCAGGCCATGGGTGTCATTCAGAACACCTCTCCTCTGGGTTCAGAGAAGATCGTTGCAGAACTGGAAGAGATGCGGAAGGTTCTGGAGAAGCTACAGGTCCTCTGGGAGGAGGAGAAGGGGCGGCTGCAGGGCCTGCTGCAGTCCAAGGGGGCCCGTGAGCAGCAGATCCAGAGGCTGGAGGCCGAGCTCAGAGAGTTCAGGAAGGGCCTTCAGAAGCTGGCCCAGGAGGGCCTGGAGCCCATGGCAAAGCCGGCAACCGAGGATGAGCTGGTGGCCCAATGGAGGCTCTACTCGGTAAGCAGTGTTTGGCCAAGACTCAGGGCAACCTAGGTGTGTCTGGGCCTTGGCGTTGCCACTCAGAGAGCTCCTCTATGTGGTGGGAGAATTGTGTAAGCCTTAAGCAGAGTCTTTGGTTTTCCTGGATCTTTGGTTCTCTACAGGGGTAGTAGACAAAGTAGGTGTTTATCCCCATTTTCTAGATGAAGAAACTGAGACCTGGGGAGATTTTTTTTTTCCCCCACCATCCTCAAGGTTCACAGTAAGTTGATAAGTAAATAAGACCAGAGGAGGACAAGACAGCCAGACTTGGGTTTCAGAGCCATTTCTTTGTCCAGTGGTGGGATGAGGGGTGAACTTCCTTGGTGGAGAGCTGATATGTTATATCAGAAGAGAAAGCTCTTAGTGGAGACAGGATGAGTGAGAAACACAGTGGGAGAGCTCAGGGTGGGGCAAGTCAAGAATGCCCATGCAGGGAGGATAGGGTGGGGCCCAGACCTAGACACAATGACCAATCAGAGGACACCCCCTCCTGTCCACTCATGCCACTGTAACAAAATACCTGAGGCAATTAACTTACAAAGAGAGAAGGTTTATTTTGGCTCATGGTTCTGGAGGTTCTGGTTCAAGATCCAGTGGCCCTATTTCTTTGGGTCTGTGGCAAGGGTAACATATTATGGTGAGAGTATGTAACGAGCAAACCACCTGCCTCGTCATCCAGGAAGCAAAGTGAGTCAGGAAGAGGAGGACATTCAGAGAGTATGCTTTAATATGGGTTGTTGTTTTGTGTGTGTGTGTGTGTGTGTGTGTTACTGGGATTTGAACTCAGGGCCTTGCATTTGTTGCTTGGCAGATGCTCCACCACTTGACCCATGACCAGAGAAGGAAATTCAGGGCCCACTGTCCCCTTCAAAGACATGCCCCCCAAAGACCTAGAGACCTCCCACTAGGCTCTACTTCCCAAAGGTTGACAGTAACTCCCAACAGTTCCAAGCTCTGGGGACCAAGCCTTTAACACATGGACCTTTCGGGGACACTCATCCAAACCACAGTGGAAGGTTTGACTTGTGGACAAAGAGTTTTAAAATAACTATCAACAACCCTTCTCCACCCGTCACTATTTACTGTAAACTCAGTAGCACGATTCCATTAAAGGAAATACCTAAAAGAAAATTCACACCTTATCTCCCTTCTGCTCCACCACTCTTGTTCTGTTTCTTTCTCTCACTTCTAGTATCTGTCCATATGCAAGATATTTTTGTAGACAGAAACAGAGTACTCTCCAGCATCTCTTATCACTTAATCTCCTAGCAGATCAGGTCACACAACATTGTCATCTTCCTGCAAAGGGACCTGCTTCCCCTTTGCATCATCGCCTGACTCAGTATGAGTAGGAGGTAGTGTGGTTCACTGGTTAAGGATGGGGACTTTGGGACCAGACTGCCCTCAGTGCTCACTCAAAAAGCATAGGTTTTCAGTGTGAGCCCTGCTACCTGGCCAGTGCCCTGCATTGCCCAAAGTCTCTCTGCTAGACCTTTCCTCTTCCTCCTCCTCCTCCTCTTCTTTCTTTCCTTTTCTTCTTCTTGTAGTGCTGAGATGAAACCCAGAGCCATGTGCACAGAAGCAAGTGCTCTACCACTGAGCTACATCCCCAGCCTTGAGCTTTCTTCCTTTGATCCCTGCTTTGCTGTGGGTCACCCTAGACTAAGCCTAGTTGGAGCTTCTCTGGCCCCCATAAATGGCAGACCTCAGCAGAGGTCGGCACTTCCAAGAAGGGCAGGAGCAGTCTGGACGCCGGTGGCTCACGCCTGTCATCCTAGCTACTCAGGAGGCAGAGATCAGGAGGATCTCAGTTTGAAGCCAGCCCTAGGCAAATAGTTCATGAGACTCTATCTCAAAAATACCCAACACAAAAACAAAGGCTAACGAGTGTCTCAAGTGGTAGAGCACCTGCTTAGCAAGCATGAAGCCCTGAATTCAAAAAAAAAAGAAAGGCAGAAGCACAAGCTGTCTCCTGGGGCTGAGAGAACCAAGTGCCTTGTCAATGCCTCATGTCCTGTGTGGTTGGTGGTACAGTACCCATTTCCCCCCTGATGGTACCACCCAAAGTTACACAGCTACAAAAAGACAGGTGGGCTTGTGGGCTCATCTGTCCCTCCAAAGCCTGTGCACTTTCCGCTACCATGCCCTGCCTCCTCTGAGCATAAGTGAGCAAGGAGAGGGGCTCTGAAGTTCAAGGTCAAACTCTTAATATCCCAGGACAGCAGGGAACGGCCATGTCTGATGGGGATGCCACAGTGAAGTGAGGCAGTTTGGGAGGCGTGGGTGCACACATCTTCCCAGCCTCCCAGGAAGAATAACGGGGATTCGTAGAGCACCTTTAGGGGCTGAAGAGACAGCGGCCGCCATTCATGGCTCTAGGATCATCAGAAACCTCTGACCTGAGTTTCCTTGTGTAGAACATGGGGACCCCATGACACCCCTCCAGGCTCCTTGCGAGGTCTGGGTGAACAGGACACCCAGAGCCTCAACAGGGGTCATGTTTTCTCATAAGGTGACTTCGATACTGCAAAGCAATACTTCAGCTCCCTGTCAGGAAGGGCCAAGTTCTAGGCCATGGAGCAGGGCCTGAGCTCCAGGCGGGGTCACATTCTTTCTTTGGTAACAGGTTTCTCCCAGCCTGGCCACACTCCCTGGCTTATGCTCAGCCCCCTGCACGCACTTGCCCATCCCCTTGAAAAGCCTCACCCCACCCTCTCGGGTGGTGTTGTGTCCTTAAGGTGACGAGGACTGTGCTGGCCGCAGAGGAGCCCCGTGTGGACCGGCTACGGGCCCAGCTGAAGGAGCTTGTCGCTTTCCCTGACTTCCAGCCACTCTCTGACAGTGTGGTTGCTGCCATCCAGGATTATCAGAGGTACCTGGGCAATACTGAGGGTGGTTTCAGGTGGGTGCTGAACCCCACACAGCCCACCTCCAGAAGGTGGACTTGTTCTCTCCTACACCTGGTCACTCTGAAATAATTCTTGCCCCGCTCAGTGACTGGAGATTACAGGTCCCCGCATGGCGTAGGCCTGTCCCATTTGATTTGTTTCATAATTTGTTCCCAGAAAGGGGCCTGAGCGTTGCTTTTTTCCTTGCAAGGCACCTCATTCAGAGTCTCCATGAGGTCTCTGTGTGGTATGGCATTGGGAGGGGTCACTGCAGTGGCCCAAAGGGAGGGCCACTCAGTAGATAAACACGTTCCCATGCCTCTCACCATGCTGAGGTGTAAATATCAGGCCAGCTCCTGGTGCAGCAAAGACAGTAGGACAAGCCACTTCCTTCTGCAGAAGTGAGCACCATGTACATTTGGAATGTCTACCTGTTTTTGCTATGTGAACGTGAGAAGGGTCTGGAACACATCTCAGCGTACCCACAGCAGTACATCTGCCTGATGTTCGGTGCCTTCCTCATGAAAGTGGGGGCTCTCACCTTGCCGTGTGTCTCCTGCCCACAGATGTGCTCAGGCCCCACATCTAGGGCCTCCCTTGTAGGATGCTAAGGTCAGGTGTTCTGGGGGCGGGGGAGGTTGAACTTCCTAGACACGAAGCAGGTAGGTCAGAGTGGCTGGAGTCTTCGCCTGCCTCTGCTTCCTCTTGCTGGGGTTTCAGGGCCTGGAACTTATGCCTGGGTGCTGGACCTGGTATTTGACAACTCACTTGTAGAAATGAGTTGGCCTGGGATGAAGATGTCTTTGTTTCGCTTCTGCCGGGGCAGTACCGGTCTGGGGTCTCATAATTTACCCCCAGGGCTTGTGGTCCACTGGTCATAAGCTGGACTGCATCTGTTTGAGGTCCTCCCTCCCAGTGCCCTTTCATCCCCGAGCACAGACCTTTGAGGTCCCGCTTAGGGAGGGGCACGGTTATCAGGTCCTGCCACCTGTTAGCCCCTCACTGTGAGGAGTGGTCACAAGCCTAGCTCAGTCTTGCCGCTTGACAATGCCCTCAGGGTAGAAGTAGCTTTTGATATTACACACATTATTTCTACTATTTACTTATTTTTAAAAATTAGATCAAGTTTTTGTTTTTTGTTTTCCTGTCCTCAGTGGGAGAGCCAGTCTGAACTAATAAGACTTTTAATACTGGAAAAATCTCCATGTGTTCTCTCAGGTAATCCTTATAGGGCACTGAGGTGAGGGACACTGTGTTTCTCATTTTTGATGCTTAATGACGATAAGCCACTGGTCTGCCTGACTTCAAGTATCCAGCCTTTTACACCTGTCAGGGGACATTCATACATCTCAGTTACATTGGAGCCCACAGGTCCTAGGGAGCTGCCATTTTGTCCATGAAGACTGAGGCATGTAGCCAGTGCCTTTTCATATCAGTGTTCTCCAGAGTCCCTTCCGTCTACATCTTGCTATAGACTGTCCAAGAAGCGCTAGGGACAGGAGAGAACCTAGACTGCTGGGAGTCTGGACACAGGCCTCACCCCTGGACTGATCCTACCGTCTTCTCTCTTGGTTTGTCCCTGTACGTTCTTTGCAGCATGAAGGGGAAGAGCACCAGGCTCCGCAATGCCACCAGGGTGGAGCTGTGGCAGCGTTTCCAGAGGCCCATACATGGCCTGCAGCTGTGGAGGGCCCTGGCCCAGCGGCTCCTGGATGTCACCTCCAGCCTGCCAGACCTGCCCTCCATTCACACCTTCCTGCCCCAGATTGAGGTAACCATAGTTCAGTCAGGCGGACTGACTTACGTGGGTGAAAAGGCTGCCAGCCAAGCATGTGGCATTTCCACGTCCAATCCAGGGACAGGCACCTTCCTGGATCCTCCCTTCCACATACCTGGGTGGAGCTCGATGCTCTGTGTCAAGCAAGTCCTAAATGCATCACTTGTTATCAGGGACAAAGGTCATCCTCAGTTCTTGGATAGGACTCCACATTGACACTCCCACTCAGAGGTATCTCTCCCCTTTCCTTCAGGCCCTCACTACAGACAGACCTCTGGCGGACCGCTAGCAGTTCTGTGAGAGAGCAGCTTATCAGGCCATCACCTTCACTGAAGCTACAGGTGACAGAAAACCTGATCAGTGGTCACTTAAAACACAGATGTTCAGGCTGATTTGTTATCTCAGCAGTCATACAGACTCAAGCTCTTATAAGCTCAAAGCCCTGTTTCTTTTTCTGGCCACTCCATATATGCATCACAACAGCATCTGTTGCAGGAGGGAACTGCATGGAGACTCCCTCCATCACCACTTCCACTCTCAACAGGAAGGCAAAGCCTTCCCAGAAGCCCTGGCAGCACTCATTTTATGTTAATATTCATTCTGGTTATAAAAGGCATACCTAGAGGAAACAAAAAGTACCCACAGTCTCACAAGTTATAGGGCCACCACCTGTTGAGGACATTTCCCCATCACTTTTTCTGGCCAATTTGATGTTACTGAGAGAATCATTAAACCAGGGTTGGCCTCTGCTCACCCTAGAGAACGTCATGACCATTGCCTGTCTAACCCTGTAATTTCCCACTTGGAAATTGGGAAATTGCTCACGTTGGAGCAAGAACTTGTTTTTCTCTCTCCATAATTTTTAAGGTGCAGGCATAGCTCTTCCTTCCAAGTGTTCCCAGGCCCCTTCCCACTACCTCTAGGCTCCAAAGGATGGCAGTCTTCTTTTTTGAGGTACTCCTTAGGACTCCCCAAAGCAAATGTAATGTGTGTCATTAGCCTCAATTTTAGGCTAGAACATCCTAAATCTACCCTTTATATCTGATGAAATCCATTCAGATATTTCCATGAGAGGTGGCCACCGGTCGACAGAAAAATTAATTAATTATAATTGTTATAGATTTAGCATCATGTCATGTAGTTGTATGCCCCAATATTTTCACTCCACATATTTGGGCTTTTTCTCAATACCATTTAAATTCATTCAAATAAAAGCAGTCATTTTCTCTCTCTCTCTCTCTCTCTCTCTCTCTCTCTCTCTCTCTCTCTCTCTCTCTCTCTCTCTCTCTCGGCAGTACTGGGGCTTGAACTCAGGGCCTACACCTCAAGCCATTCTACTAGCCCTATTTTTGTGATGAGTTTTTCAAGATAGGGTCTCTCAAACTACTTGCCCAGGCTGGCTTCAAACCTCAATCCTCCTGATCTCTGCCTCCTGAGTAGCTAGGAAGACAGGCGTGAGCCACCTAAAACAATCATTTTCAATGGCTGCATAATTTTCCATTTGGAATATGCATAATTTGATACCTCCACAATTTCACATTTATGTTGTTTATAATTTTTCATTGCTATAATTAATAGATGTTGGATGTCTACATTCACAAGTTTTTTCTACCATTATCCTCCTCGTTTGCAGTTGAGGGATTGACTGGAGCCGGGGAGAAGTCAGAGTGTATGATCATGGTCGTGCTGCTCAGGAGAAACTGAGCTGAAGGTGGAATGGTGGCCAACAAATTCTTGCCTAATGTTGTCCTCCTGTTTCCACACTGGGCTCTAGAAACAACTCTGTGATGCAGAACTGATTTTGTTTTTTTATCGTTACTGGACTGTTGAGGGAACTGAGTCCTGGGAGAGGAAGCCATTTGCCCAAGGTCACAGCTATGAAGAGGCAGGGCCAGGCTTGACTCAGGCCTGCCTGACTCTACCTCGAGTCAAGTACTTTTCTTACTGTGTCATGATTACTTTTCCATCTTGCTCTTACCCCTGGGGTAGAAGGCAAACCAGGAGCTCTGTGAGCAACAGGGAGAAGTAGAGAGACCCAGGAATCCCATCCTAGGAGCCCCAGGTAGAAACAGTGGGGCCAGGACTTTGGTTTGCTATGTTTGGATGCAAGCTGTTATTTACAGTGTGAGTGGCTTCACTCTCATCCACCTGCCCCATGGGGTAGATTTTATCTTCTCTTGATGGGCCCCTGTGTTTAGCCCCCAAGTGTCCTATGGCCCTGCAAAGTTTCTTTGGAGCAATAGTGTTGAGCCCAAATGCTGGGCTTGGCTGGTGTCTTCATTTTTCCTGAGGCTGCTGTAACAAAGTGCTCAAAGGGACTTTAAGAGTGGCTTAAAACAACAGAAGTTTATGTCTGACAGTTCCAGAAGCCATAGTCCAAAGTCAAGGTGTCGGCAGGGCCACAGAGGGGTTTAGTGTGGAGGGTGAATTCTGGGAAGGCAGCAAACAGGTGCTGTGTGGTCCAAGCAAGCAAGGGTGAGCATGTTTCACAGCCAGTGGCAGTGGTGATAGAGAAGAGGATTTCTGAGACAGGTAAGAGGCAGAATTACCTTTCAGGCTTTGGTAACCAGATGGATGAGGGGAAGAGAAGAGTCAACTTGGATTCTGAAATTCAGGATCTCCCTGACACATACCTGCCAGCTTGTGTTTCTACTTCTGTTTGATGCTTCCTGGGACACCCACACAGAGGCTTGGCTTCCTCCTCGGGGCTCCTGGCCCTGGTGCAGAGCTGTGTCCTGCCCAGCTGTGTTCTATGGCTCACGGAGGCCTTGTGTCTCCACAGGCGGCCCTGGTGGAAAGCTCCCGACTGAACGAGCAGCTGGCAGGGCTGCCACTGAAGACAGAGCTGCTGAGCAGTGTCTTTGGCCAGGAGAGAGCCCAGGCACTCCTGGAGCAGACAGCAGGGGCCATGAGGGATAGAGACCTGCTGCATAGCAGCCTTCTGCAGAGGAAGAGCAAACTGCAGGTGAGCATCGCTGCGTCTGCTGGATGCTCAGCCTCGCTGCTGGGCTGGGCTGCCCTTGGGGTGTTCTAATCCCCAGGTATATCCCTTTGTCTCCCACAGTCTCAGGACCTACATTGCTATCAGACTTCCACAGAGAGGAAAGTGCAGAGACAGGAGCTTGTGAACTTTACATTGTCACCATGCTGGAAACTAGTGTGATTGGTGACACACTTTTTGGTTGTTTTGGCGGTATCGCTAGGCAGATGCTCTACCACTTGAGTCCCACCTCCAGCCCTTTCTGTTCTGGTTATTTTGAGATAGGGTCTCACTTTTTGCCCAGACCAACCTGGATTGTGATCGTCCTATTTATGCTTCTTACCATAGCTGAAATGACAGGTATATGCAACCGTGCCCAGCTGGTGCCACATTTGTCTCTACTGAATCAAAGAGCGAGCTTGGCATTCTGTGGATAGCCTCTTCTCTGTACTGAATGATTGCTGAGCATCTAGTAATCATGACCATAGTAGCTACTTTCTATGGGGCACAGGCTAGGCACTTGCTAAGCGCTTCACATCCATGATCTTATCTAAGCCAAGTGGCCCTGGGGGAGGGTAGGTATGGTATTCTTATGGTCCTTATTTTACAGGTGAGGACACTCAAGGAAGTGGTGCATAGTCCAGAGGTGGTAGTGTCAAGTCTCAGGCCTAGCACACTATCTGAATCCAAACCCACAACCTTCCCCCCATGCTCTAGTCCTCCATCAGCAAGGCCAGGCAGGGTTTCAGGAGCTGGGAGAGCACAGAAGGGAGCTGAGGTCTCCCCTCAAACTCCCACAACCCAGTGGTGGAGACATGCAAACAGGCAATTCCTGTGCGGCGATGGGGGAGCGTCCAAGTGCTATTCTTGAGTAAGGGTCTGCAGACCATTTCTGCAAAGGGCCAGGAATTGAGGATGTCGCATTTACAGGATGGCTGGCTCTGCTGCTGCTATTCAACTTTGCCCAGGTGGTGGGGAAGCAGTGGGAAATGAACAGGCGTGGCTATGTCCTAATGACATAAACATCCATTTACATAGACAACCTCTGTGAGACTTGCGGGTGGTGGGTATGGTTTGCCAGCCTCTTTTCTAGTGGGGTATGGAGAAAGTATGATGCAAATATGGTGACCCTAAGGAGAGGCACCAACCCCACTAGGACTCAAGGAAGAATTCCTGGAGGGTGTGATACCAGAGTGAGGGTGAACTGCACAGCAGAAGGAGCAGCCTGGTTGTGAGTCTCAGGTCTCACAATGGGGCACCCATGGGGAAAGTCTTATCTTGCAGCTGCCTGTTCTATGTCTGCAGAGCTCACTCAGTCAGCACAAAGACTTTGGGGCTGCTTTTAAACCCCTGCAGAAGAAGCTCTTAGATCTCGAAATCAGGATCCAAACTGAGAAAGGACTCCAGCGAGACCTTCCTGAAAAACAGGCCCAACTCTTGAAGTTACAGGTAAGGAGGTCCATGAGACCAAGTCTCATGGGTTCCCAGTTGTGCACAGAAGCAGGCCTTCTCCTCTGTAGTAGCCAGGAAGCAATAGCCAGCTTGAGCCAAGGTTGAGGGCTTCCCTTTGGACCTGATCAGTGCATTGTCTGCATATTTATCTGATTGCTCCTGGCCTCAGTAGGACCTTTGGTACCTTTAAACTGCTGGTTCCTGAGACTCACAAAGCGATAAGCAATCCTTTAATTTACCTCTCCACTCCAAAGTCTAACATTGGTATTTTTTAAATTGCTTTGCTAACTATTTCCAGTGTCCAGAGGCCTTCTAATGAAAAATCCAGTTTTGAGATTAAGAATATATGTTTAAAATCACATGCAGAATGTGAACAAGCTGATCATTGATCATTGCTGGCAGGATGAGAGCTTACTGGTCCTTAAGATGCTTAGGATGTAGCAGTTATCTTTTTTAAAACCCAAACATGCAAGTGTTCTCTCGAACACAGTAACATGGTACATTTGGGGCTTCAAAACTGAAATTGAGTTTCTATAATGAGAGGCAGTCATCAAAAGTCCAGATGTGATGTTTGTCCTCTGAGATGCCATCTGAGCACTCCTAAAGTTTATTTCCGGGATGTCTAGAATATTTTTGCTTTTTTGTTTTGTTTTGTTTTAATTTCACCCGTCCTGAGAGTGGGCCCATCAGACCAGCCACATGGTGCAGCCATGGTGTGGGGGGCCTCTATCTTAGGCGACACCTGCCATGGACTCTCCCAGTCAAAGCCCCAGCCCTGAGGGGCTCCCAACCCTCTCCTCACCCCATTACAGGTGCTACAGGAAGAGGGGCTGGAACTGGGAGCCCAAATAGAGGCCATGAGGCCCCTCATCCAGGAGAACTCCAACCACCAGCACAAAGTGGACCAACTTGCCTCTGACCTCCAGGCCCTGCAGAAGTTCCTGGAGGTAAGGGGCAGGCCAAGGGGCTAAGTGGTCATAGAGCCAGGTCATATACAGGCTCCTGGATGCCTGTATACCTGGGCCTTCCTCCTTCTCTTCTTCCTTCATTCCTTCCAGCCCCTCTTTTTTCTTTCTCTCCTTCCCTCCCTCCCTCATTCGTGTAACAGATGACTACTGAGTGCCTTCTGTATGCCAGGTTCTGTTCTAGGCCCCAAGGATGGGAGCAACATGAACAAGGTAGCCAAGACCACTGTTCCCCTGGGAGCTGGATAGATAGAGGACAGTGAATGGGCAAACAAGCGAGTTGAGTGTACGATTCCATGTTGTGATCAGAGCCACGAGGTAGAAGGGCTGTGGTTCTCGAACAGCAGCCTGGTTCTGCAGGCCCTGCGCTGAGCCCCAGTGCTGCAGAACTGCTCTGCAGTGCCCTCTCGTGGCCACCTGAGCACCTCGTGGTGTATGCGTGGGCCCGATTCCACTTCCTGCAGTGGGATGGAACAAAAGGCTCCTCCAAGCAGAAATGCAGACTCCAGGCCCCATGCAAGCCCTGATCTGGATGGAGGCCTGGTCAGCCTGAGCTGGGCCCTGACAGCCACACCTCTACTCAGTTTAAGGCAGGTTCTTCTGTACACACAGGGCCTGTGTGCCCTGTTCTTAAAATAGTTTCAGCACCCTCTTTGCCATCCTGAAACTTAAAAGGTGATTCGAGTCACCCTCACAGACAATTGAGAAACTTCTAGAAGAGAAAGAAAAGGTTTTAAGAAATAATTATAATGAAATAGTAAGTGCATAAGTGCTCACAGATGGCCATGCTTAGGACACAAGGAGAGGGTCAGAAAATGTCCCTTTTATGCTATGACCCCACTTGCCACGGCAGGTGTATATAGCTGGCAGTGCCTCTGGGGATGTAATGTTCTGATTTTGATCAAAGCAAAGCACAGCTTTCCATGGGTTTACGTGGTGAGAGCATTGCCAGGAAGTCAGCATCTTTGACCTCCTTGTGTCTGTGTGTGAATGGACTTAAGGTCTAAGCCCAGGTTGGGATAAACAGGGTTTTAACTGACCACTGTGGGTTTTGGATGGATGTGAGGAGTCTTGTGGGGCCTGAGCAGTTCTGAGTCAATGGACTGTCCTCCTCTGGTGGGTCGGGAGCACCATCGCTCTCACTGTGTCTGCTACTTTTAGCCCACCCATCGTATCACAGCAGCCAAAAGGTCCCCCACATGGCTCCAGCAGTGTGGCACCATGTACAGAGACCCATTGGTCTCAGTGATGCATACGAATTCACTAAGCCCACTTAATAAACTTGCACTGTGGTCTTGGGGTGAGGCAGGGGGAGTAGAGAAATAGGAAAATCCCCCAACCTTCTGAAGCCTATAGAAGCAGCAGAATCAGCTCCCATAAGTACATCAGCTGATGAGTTAGGTTAACCCAGAGGAAATGGTCACCAAGCATCATTAAGGGCTACAAAATGGTGGCTGGTGATTTGATCCTACTCTTTAATGGTTTCCATACTTCCTTAACAAGGAATTGCCCATCTTAATTTTGGCACTCTAAGTCTAGTGAGTCTTAATACATTCTTACCCCACAGTCACAGGATCTTATGTCCCCACAGGGACCATGGTCCACATTGGGGGTCACAGCTCCATGGAATGGAGCTGCTGAAGGCATTTGATGTTGGCACCCAGGGGCCAGGAGGGACTCTGGGAGTAAGAGCTCAGGGGAGCAGAGTTCTAGCTCATGTTTCAAGCCTTTGTTTGGTGGTTTGTTGAGGACAGGTGCAGGACACTCCTGGCAGACCCACAGGATGCTGAGTCCCTCCCTGAGGCCCAGGCCCCTGGCATCCTGCAGTCTTAGCCAGAGTCTGAGGGATGCAGGAAGGCAAGGTCTTTGGTGCCCCCCACCCCCACCCCAGAGAGTCAGGAAGCCTTAAGCTGTGGCACACAGCAAGAAAGGGGACAAGTAGGCCTTGGGGTCTGACTGCCTCATAGTGAACTGAAAAAGGGGTCAGAGGACCAGGCAGGATGACAAGAAGAATAGAGAGCAGCCACCTTTCCTGAAGACAGAAAAACAAGGCCCAAGCCTCACAGAGCTGAGCAACAGACTGGCCCCGGAAGTAGGACCTGGGGAAGGAGAAAAAACAAGACGGTTTTGAAAACCTTTTTATTGAAGTATAATCATATTCAGAAAGGTAAACATGTAATTATGCAGCTCAGTGGATTTTAAAAATTAAATTGATCAGTGTTACCACCACCCAAATAAATCCCAGAGCGATACCAGCCTCCCTCACACTCCTCCAGGCACTGCTATCTCCTCACCCTCAAAAGCAACCCTGACCTCAGACTTGAAAAGGCATCCATCATGTTTTTGCACGTGAGGATTGTAAACTCATCCACAATGCTGCACGTGGCCATAGAGAGCTCATTCTTGCTGTTGTAGGACATTTCTGCTGAGTGGATAGACCCCCATGTGTTTAACCATTCTCTTGTTGATGGGCACTTGGTTGTCTTCCAGTTTGGAGCTGTGACAAGTGGCATCTCATGTGTGCCCTTTGGTGAAGGGCGATGCCCCCAGTGTGATAGCTGGGTCAGAAGTTTTACCTGGGTGTCCAGTTTTTACCAGATGCTCGCCAACAGTTTTCCCAAGGGCTCATGTAGGATTCACAGCACACCAAGGATGGAGGAAAGCTATGACTGACGCACCCTCTCCTACACTCAGTAGTTTCCATAGAAGCAAGACAGGCTGGGGGCATCTTATACCACAGTTGATCTATGGGGTACAGAGGGGAGGGACAATCCTGTGGCATTCCTGCTAGGGAAGGGGGAGCTAAGGGATCAGGCAAAGTTAGGGTGGTGCCCTGGGTCTCTGCTTCCACCAGCACTCAGGGTATCCTAGCCCTTTTGACTCTGCCACAGGACCTCATGGACAGGTGTCAGCAGAGTGTGCAGGAGCACTGCACCTTTTGCTACCGGCTGCTGGAGCTGCAGCAGTGGGTCGCTGTGGTCACACAGACTCTGGAGTCACACCAGGCAGATGCAGGCCTGTGGGATGCCAAGTCCCAAGAAGCTGAGGTTGAGGTAAGGTGGCCATTTGTTCCCTCACCAGCATCCCCAAAACCTCAATAACGAGTGCTCCCACACTGGGAAGCAGAAACCTCCCCTAGGACCTCACTGTCTGTGTCCATGTGTCCCCCAGAGGCTGCTGGCTGAGCTCCCAGAGAAAGAGGCCCAGCTACCCCTGATTGAGGCTCTGGGCCAGCTGGTGATGGAGAAGTCTTCCACAGAGGGAGCTGCTATGGTCCAGGAAGAGCTGAAGGAGCTGGCAGAATCCTGGCGGGGCCTGAGGCTGCTGGAGGAGAACCTGCTGAGGTAAGGTCTCCCTGGCTCCCATCCTTGTCCTAAACAACACTTCCTGGTGTCCAAAAAAGCAGATAACTAGGACTGGGCTACGTGCTAGGCATGACGCAGGGCCCTGGGGACACCTCCACTCTTGGGCCAAGTTCTGGCAGGGTGATTAGGAGTTGAGAAGTGACCTTGAATGTGGAGTTAGCCTTCAACCCATTCTGGCTTAGGCCTCAGTTTCCTCACCTGCATCAATGGGTATGTAGATGCCCAGCAGGATAGCTGCTAAGTCACTCTCAGTAGTAAAACCAAGAGGTTTCCTGAAACCCAGATTGTCCCAATCCTGTTGCTTGTCCCCCATGGCGGTGGGTCCCCATCACACCCCACCTTGAGAGAATGAGTTTGTCTTTCCAGCCTCATCAGAAACTGGCAGCTGCAGACCACTGAAGTAGATTCAGACAAGAAGCTGGTTTTCACCAACAACATCCCCAAATCTGGGTTTCTCATCAACCCCATGGATCCCATTCCGAGGCAGCGGCGTGGGGTGAGTCTGTCTAGTGGGGCTTTGGGACAAGGGTCAGATTCCAGTCAAGTGATGGGTTGGATGGTCTCCAGTACAGCCCCCTCCTAGCCTAGGACCACACACTCAGCTTACAGGACATGGCTACTTCTGTTTCACCTGTTCCTGCTGTGGCCCCAGGGGACATTGTGCCACTCACGAGGGACTCAGAGGTCCTAGACTGCAGAGCTGGGCCATGAGGGAAGGTTGTGGGCATCCCTGGACCAAACTGGTCTTCACTCCTCTGAACCCTTAGCAGCTCCTGCAGGGAGTAGTGTCAGGGCTGCAAACTTCCTATTGGCCCCCAATGACAAATCGAGGTCACACCAGATGGGTGTCTTTGTAACTGTACTTTATGAAAAGTATGAACTGTATGGTATCATTTGTCATGTCCCCTTACTGCCTTTTAAAAAATTGAGGCATACTAAAAAGAAACTTTATCCTTGTTCTTCAAACACAGTCCATCAAGCCAGATGTGGTGGTTCACACCTGTAATCCTAGCACTTGGGAGGCTGAAGCAGGAGGATCTTGAATTTGAGGCCAGCCTGGCTACACAGGGAGAGCCTATCTCAAAAAACCAAAACAAACAAACAAAAATTCCATCAAGCCAAGTGCAGTGGTGTATGCCTGTTGTAATCCCAACTACTCAGGGGGCTGAAGCAGGAGGATCACTTGAGCCCAGGAGTTCAAGGATAGCCTGAAGACCCCACCTCAAAATAAATAAAATTATTCATTCTCCCACTCATTCCCTCATCTCAAAACACATCTATTGAGCACTGGGCTCAGCTGGGATGCAGCTACGAATAACACTTCCAGCCTCAGAGAACTTAGAATGCAGTGCAGAGCTTCTGGATGGTTATATGCACCTGATTGAAATGCAGGTTCTGATTCAGTAGCCCAGGTGGGGCCCCCGATGCTTCACTACTAGTAAGCTCCCAGGACACGCTGTGTGGCTGGGCCTCGGAGCACAGTGCAAGGAGCAGGTAGTTAAAAGAGAGGTTTACAAAAAAATGCAGGGCATGTTTCTGAAGGAGCTTAGGGTAGAGTGGTCATGCCCGGGTCCCAGGGCAGGGAAGTCCTGCTGGGGGCCATGAAATGTCAGCTGAACCCCAAAGGCTAAGTGGGAGAGGAGGAGGGGAAAGGAGGGAGGCACTTTCCAGGCAGAAGGGACAGTGTGGACAGAGACCCAGAGGGCAGGAGCACAAATTCAAAGGTGGAGGCACACCTGCCGACTGTGCTCAGAGAAGGAGGGGGAAGGTGGCTTGACCAGAGGCTGGCAGAACCGGAACCCATGTGCTCAGTCAGGGAGGCACACGAAGCCACACGTGTGTAAGGAAGGAATTAGCTGGACCAATTTGCACTTTAAACTCTGGCCACAGAGCCCAGAGGGAAACAAGAACAGGAGAAAGGTGTCCACTGATAGCCATTCTGGTAAGGGATGATGGTGACTTCCATGAAGGAACCAAGGAGGTAATAGTGAGGAACACTTTTCCCAAATGAGGCTGTGTTGAGTGGAGATTATTCTCCATCCCCCTACCCCTGCCCCAGGCTGCTCCCCTACCCTTTCCTCATCCTACCCTTCTGCTCAGTGGAATTCCTTTCTCACCTCCCACATTGGTCACACGACTTCCTACAGGCAAACCTGCTGGAGGAAGAAGAGGGCAGCCGTGAAGATGTCTCCCGGCTCCTGAGGAACTTTGAACAGTGGTTGCAGGAGGAAAATTCCAAGCTGGTTAGAATCATTGCCATGAGAACTACCACAGCCAAGGACTTGAGAACCAGAGAGAGAAAGCTGCAGGTCTGTTCCCAAGGAGTGGTCCCTTGTCCCTGGGTTCTGTGACTGTATCTGTACTTGCCACCATAGAGTCCTTCAAACAAAGGAGTACATGCACACAGTAGTCCATGAGCTGCTCACACTTGTGTATAAATAATAGTTTGTAAACTTTTTTGGTTCAAATGTTTTAGACTTGTTTCATTCATTCATTATTCATTTATCCATTCATTTTTCCTATTTCTGTATTTCCCTCTTTGGAAAATATTACCATTGATCACTCTACTCCTGTATCAGTTAGCAATTGCTGTGTAACAAACCACCCCAACACTGTGTGACTTGAAACAACTATTTATTTAACTCATGCTTCTGGAAGCTGGCAATTCAGGCTGAACTCAGTCTAGCTTCAGTAAGTTCCAGGGGCCAAGTCTGCTGAGCTTCCTTGTCTGGTCAATTGTAAATCTGCTGGATGCTCAACTTCTGAGGGCTGCTGGGCTGTTGGTGCTTGAGGTGGACCACGCACATCTCATTCTCCTGTGGACTATGGAACAGGAAAGGCCTTTGGAGGCCCAGACTAGGAACTGAATTCTGTTGGCCAAAGAAACCCACAGGGTCACCCTAGATTCAAGGGGAGCAAACACAGACTCTACTACTTGCTGGGAGCAATTGCAAAGTCATATTGCAAACGGCCCTGGGCTGGCTGGGGAGGGGACCAAGGAGCCAAGGCCATGTTTGCAATTGACCAACCATGACTCTTCTTTCTAATCTAGTTGCTGTCTCAGTCTATTTGTGCTGCTATAACAAAATACTCATGATTGGATAATTTATAATGAACAGGAATTTATTGGCTCACAATTCTGTGATTACGTTTTTACTCTTCTTGGTGGTACTGGGGTTTGAACTCAGAGCCTTGCACTTGCTAGGCACCCACTCTACCACTTGAGCCATGTCCCCCAGGCTGTGACTCAGTTCTGGAGACGAGGAAGTCCAAGATCAAGGCACCAGAATCTTGCAGGAGCCTCCTTGTTGTGTCAGCACAAGGAAAAAGGCAGAAGCCCAAAGAGGTAAAGGCATCCTCTCGCCTTTACATGACAGCATTAAGGGCCCTCATGGGACCTTTGCAGCCAGATCACCATTCAAAGGTCCCACCTCTTGGTATGGTTGCAATGGTAACCAAACGTTACATGAGCTTTGGAGGGAGCAAGCTCCATAGCGGTCCAAGTATATTACGTGAAAGTCCAGGAAAGTGGGGAGTGGAGGTGCAGCTCCGTGGTAGAGCACTTGCCAGGCATGAGCAAGGCCCTGGGTTCCATCCCCAACACTAAAGAAAAAAACAAACAAAAACTCGGGAAAGGATAAGAGCCCAGAAGGAAACCCTGTGTTCAGGCCTCCATTTGCCCTAACAACACCGGCCAGTCTGGAAGAAAGAGCTATGCAACTGATCTGTGCTTTTGGCAGCCTCAGAGGGCAGGGAGATGAAGGTCAAGGCCTGGGCTCTGCATACCATAGTGGTCACCAAACCCTCCTTGATTCCATCTCCCTGACATTTTTTTCCTTTCCTGTCCTTTCTCTCGGCCACTGTCTTAATCTCAGCACTTATCATTTACCTTGACTAAGGCAACAGCCTCTTAGCTGGTCTCCTCCTTCCTGTGGGGATCCCCACCCAGCTCATGGCTCCTTCTGCAACCAGCCTCCCATCCCTTCTGCTGCTGAATCCAAGTTCAAAGCTTGTGGGTCCTCTGGACAACTGAGATAACTTGAAACCGAATTGCAAGTCCTTACCAGGCACTTCTGGTTCACCTTTACTCTGAGGATGAAGTGTGCAGGAGCGTCCAGTGAAGGGGGAATGGTTTATCAGACTCCATCTGCAGAGCCCAGGTCATGACCTTCATCTTCCTCTGAGGCTGCCAAAAGCACAGATCAGTTGCATAGCTATTTCTTCCAGACTGGCAGGTGTTGTAAGGGCAAAGCCTGAACACTGGGCTTCCTTCTGGGCTCTCATCCTTTCCCGAGTTTTTGTTAATTGTTTTCTTTAGTGTTGGGGATGCAACCCAGGGCCTTGCACATGCAAGGCAAGTGAGCTGCACCTCCACTCCCCACTTTCCTGGGCTTTCACCTACTGTACCTCACTCTTTCATTAATCCTTTGATGGCTGTGTAATGTCTTAGTACCAATCATGTAGTTCACTGTCACCAGGAAGTCTTTCCCACCCATCTCTCCTAGCTCAGATAGGCGGCTTCTCCTCTTGCTTCCCATCCCCCAACACACCACTCCAGTCATACCAGAAAGGACTTTTAGTTCCCCTGGCTAAGCACCTTTGTTCTTGTCCAACTCTCATTCTAGCAGATTCTGAGCAGCTAAGCTAATTGTTCCATGTCACACAGCTCTAAGATGGGGCAGAGCCAGGATCCCAAGCCAGGATTTAAATCCAGGCTCCTGCCTGTAGAGCCCTCATCCTACTCCCATATCACACCACCTCAGGAACCCTAGGAATAAATGATATCATCCTAGGGAAACATAGTAATCTACTTTGATAGAAAAATCTGTCCTACCCAACACCAGTCTACCAGGCTCAAAAATGGCACTAGAAAGCTATGTCCAATAGTGATGGTTTTATAATGGTGGCAACTCCTCTTTTAAGCCCACTGGATGACTTGGTCCTGAGAGGTCAGAGTTGGAAGTGACCACAGTGGTCAGCAGTCCAGCTGCCTTTCCATGCAGGAGGTCATTCTGGAACATTCCAGAGTGCAGTTGCTGGACTTTGGTTTGACTTTGCACAGATGAGATTCTCACATTAGGGGTTCTGTCCGCCTGCTCCCTGTATGCCTCTCTGCCACGTGACACTTGATTTTCCTGTCCTTAGCAGCTGGGTGGGATGTCTGGGCCATTGGGAAGCTCTACCATGATGCCGCCTTCTCCCTCAGGAGCTGGAGGCTCGAGTCCCAGAAGGTCAGCACTTCTTTGAGAACCTCCTTCGCCTCAGGCCAGTGAGGGGCTCTTCGGATGACCTGGAAGATCTACGCTACCGCTGGATGCTGTACAAGTCAAAACTCAAGGACTCTGGTCGCCTGCTGGTAGGTGCTGAGGATGCAGGTCCCAGGCCCCAGGAAGAGACAAGGCTGGGTCTAGACTCACCTAGGGAGACAGAGTTTGCTCTGTGTTTGCTCTGTCCTGGGCATCTGTGTCCCAGGCTGTGGTGACCACTCAGATAAAGAGGAGGAGAGTCACAGGACCCAGACGCTTGACTTATGTGATATCATTGGCCACCTATGTCCTGTGAGGCTGAGTCCATTCCAGAAACAATGGCCAATAACAGTGGCAGTACCTAATGGCTCGTGTGTGAGGCGTGCTTGCTGCCTGTCCTGTGAAGAGCTTCGTGTATATTTTCCCTGTTAGAGAAACTGCACCCCAGTCTCTGGAGAGGGAACTGAGGAAGCACCTGATTGACCATCAAGAGCCTTGGGGTCCAGCCCGACTCTCCCACTGACTTGCATTATGATTTTGACCAAGCGGTTTCTCTTCTTGGTCCCCTGTGTCTCCTACACAAAATAATAACAATGCCTATGCTAATAACAATAGCTTTTATAACTCCAAGCAACCCTATAAAGGAGACAGTTATCATTCCCTCTGGACCAATGGGGAAACTGAGGCATGGAGCTTATTCCCCAAGCCCAGAGAGGAGGTAGGTGGAGTGGCCTCTAGTGCCATTTCAACACACCAGTCACGCCGGGTTGCTGCAGGCTTTTCTGGCCCTGACCCTGTGTTGGCCACTAGATGTCAGCCCAGCCCAAGCCAGGCGGCCATGCCCCAGTGCCTGGCCAAGGCCTTCCCAGACCGAGTCCCGCCTGGGCCTGAAGTGTGTTAAAAAGCTCATTAAATTGAATCCCCTGCTGGCTTGGGGCTATCCAGATGACCAGAAGTTTTAAAGAAACGCTCTTCTGACAAAATGAATATTCCATTACAGACTCTACTGGGATTTAAGTTTTGCTCACCTTGCTTTTCCCCCCCTTTCCTCTCTTCCCCTAAAATAACAGACACAGAGTTCTCCAGGGGCACTGACTGGATTCCAGAAGGTACGTGCCTACCATCTGCTCCGCGAAGCTAGAAGGGGCGCCTGCAGGGCGGGTGGGCCTGAGATGCTGGGGTAGGTTGCCTGAGCTTTCTGCAAAGTTCTGTGAGGTCTGAGGAGCATTGACAGGGAATCAGTTCTGGGCTGCATTGCGTTGGGCCCGGGGTCTGTGCTCTTAGAAAGCACCAGGCTTGAGGAGTAACTGGCAGGTGTGTGTGCAGAGTGCTCAGCTGTGACAGGTACATGGTGGAAGTGACACTGGAATTTGTCATCCAGACTAGCACACGCTGAAGAGTAAGAAGGATGCTGCTAATAATTACGGTGGCAGCAGGAGTAAACTGGACTGTTCCAGGCAAACTGGACTGTTGACCATCCTGGTGACACTGGAGTGTACAGGCTTCAGAGGGACACATTGGGAGGGGGTGATGGAGCCCTTCATGCTACCAGGCATGTGTTTCCACTTGCATCCACTGAGACACTCAGGGACACTCCTGTGGCATTTGTGGCTGAAGCAAAAGCAGTAGAAACAGTAAGCAAAGGACACCACTGGCTCATATCACTCTACATGGGCACAGTGGCTGACCTCGTTGTACGTCGGGAATTGTGACTGATTGTGGTTAGTGCGCCCCATTGACCCCCCACCTCACCCACTGACACCCAAGTGGCATTCTTACCTCGGCTTTAAGCCTGAGGGAACAGCTGGCGCATTGATCTACCTTGTTCCATGGGGGCACTCAGCTCCATACTGCTGTCTGGCCTCTGACTTCAGAGTCCATGTTTTTACCTCCTAGGGGATGCCTTAGAGGAGGCTTCCCAGGGGCCTGCAGTGTCTCCCACAACTAAAAAAGCCAAATGTGTGACCATTTCCAAGGGAATACCCTTGTTCTCTGCCGAGCATTGATCTGTAATGACTGAGCCCACATCATTCTCTGGTCCAAAGAGCTCCGGTGGCTTAAGATCACTCATTTCATGAACTGCGTATCCCAGGTGATATGTACACCTGGATTCCTTCCCATCCTCTGGCTAGTGTCATGTCTGGCATCTGCAGGAGGGTGACAAAGCATGGACTAGGCTACCCTAAGACCAAGGCTGTGCTCTGTACCCAGTGTCAGGAGCTTAGAGGTCCTTGGACGTGTTGCTTGCCTTTGGGGCCCACTCCTCCCATCATCTGTAAAATGAAAATATAATGCCGACTTTACTTACTTCACAAATTATTTTTGAAGACTGCCAACTTTTATATGGAGATAGAGGTGTTTCCTAGCGCTTAAGTCCTGGTTTGCCACCCACCCCCAGTTTAGAATAACAACAGCCTCTTCAAGGAATAGGGAAGTGTCAGGAAAGTTAGGCTCAGCATGGTGGCTCCTGGTGGGAGATGGCGGACCCAAGACCTGATGGCCAGGCTGTCTCTAGCTCCTATCTTTAAGCCCTTCACTATTTGGGGTTACACAAACAGCCCCCAAGTTGATGCAGAAGCCATGTCTGGGTCTTCTGGTGCCTGGCCAGGGTGCCTAGCACGTGGTAAGTACTCACTAAATGGTTTTGAGCAGGTGACTCTTGGCTGACTGACACCAGTCCAGTGCAGGCTCGGGTTCTCTGGAGCCTATAATTTTGGTATGTTAATGTGGTTCGTTCACAGCCATCATGCCCATTGGTTATATCCTCTTTGATTTCTTCCTTCCTTCCTTCCTTCCTTTCTTCCTTCCTTCCTTCCTTCATTCTTTCCACCAATATTCACTGAGTTCTGATTTTGTGCCACACTTTGCTTTCAGCACTTGGGAGCATATTGGTGAGCAAAAAAAAGCAACAGCCTGCCCTGCTACCTGTGCACCTGTCTGGGTGGAGAGTCGATGGAGCTTCTGTGTGTAGCCAGTGCTGCTGAGCAGGGCGATGGTCTCTGAGCCACAGAGGGCAGCAGCTGTGATGAGATTTGTCCTAGCTGTGGCTGGCAGATGTTGGATGCAGTTCTGTGGGATATACAAGCACAAAAGCTCTAAGTAGCTACAACGTCTGTTCATCTGGGATATATTTGAAACAAGTAGATTATAAAAATTTTGACTTTGGTGCTGGCTGACTTTTGAGCTAATGGACCTCAGCCTGTTGTGAAGAAGGAAGGAAACTCGGGGCTGACATACACTTATGTGCAGCTTGTGCAAACCAGATTTCTGGACCCATCCCTAAAGTTTCTCTTTCTTTTTCCTTTTTGGTGGTACTAGGGTTTGAACTCAGGGCCTCGCACTTGCTAGGCAAGCGCTCTACCACTTCAGTCATGCCTCCGTGCCCCAGGCTTAGAGTTTCTGATCTATTAGGTCTGGAGTGGCCCATGAATCTGCACTTCTAACAAGGTTCTAGGTGACAATGATGTTGCTGGCCTGGGGACCACACTGTGTTACCATCTGGATTCAAATCTAGATTCCACCACTAGTGTGCATGACCATCAGTAAGTCACTTAACCAATAAATAAACGAGAGCCACCGAGCAGATACTGCCCTGCTTTTCTTTCTTTTCCTTCCTTCCTTCCTTCTTCTTTCTTTGTTTTGGGTGAGGGGAGAGAGTCTCCTTATGTATCCCAGCCTGGCCTCAAACTTGCAATCCCCCTGCCTCAACCTCTTGAGTGCTGGGATTACAGGTATGTACCAACCTGCTTCTCTTTCTGAGAAACCAAACAAACCCTTTGGTCTTCACATTGTCACTTGCTGATTTTCCTATTAGTCAGCTTTCTGGCAGTACAATAAAATACTTGAGATAATCAATTTTTCAGGAGAAAAGGCTTATTTTGGCTCACAGTTGAGCGTCCAGTTCATGATCTTGCTTTGGGCCTGTGGTGAGGCAGCACATCATGGCAGGGAACATGGGGCAGAGGAAAACTGCTCACCTCATAACCCTCTCTAAGAGCATGCCCCCCCACCTCTGAAAGTTTCTATCACTTCCAAATAGTGCCACAGCCTTTAACACATGGGCCTTTGGGGGACACTTCAGATCCAAATCATAGCAGCCCTGGTGTTTTTTTGCTGGCTAGGCTGTGCGCATGCATGTTTATGACTCTACACAGATGCACGTGTGCACACACATGCAGACCTGACAGGTAGAAAATAAGTGCTGTCTGCAGCAGCTGTAATCATGCCAAGTTAAAAACATTTCATACGTTATTTTCAGTCCAAGGGAAGGAAAAAAAAAATGTCTGCTTCCAAGCTAATTATTTATCAGCAGTTGGTCGTCCACATTTTTCTCTCTCCCAGTTCTGTCACTGAAGGCTCTGACTACATCCTTGCCTTCAGGCTGCTTGTTTGTATAAACAGAGTAGTTAAGAGTGATGAAATCTCCAGCTGCCTATGTGCCTGCCAGCACAGTGCCCTGGGTGTTGCTTCCTGCACTCAGCCACATGAGGTGTAGCTGCTTTTTGAGGAGCAACTGGGCTGTGTGTCAACTCAAGCCCTGCCTTGGCCCTGCCCTACCTCAATGCACATTTTTTTTTTTAACTTGTGGAACAGAATGGCCATCACTGCTTTTCTTACAGGCAAAGCAGGACAGTTTGCAAGAACAGCAAACAGACACCTTCCAGGAATTACACAGTGCAGGCTTTTGGCAGACAGTCACCCCAGAGCAGCATTTCGTTTACTTGCCATCTTTCATAGGTTTTCACACTCATAACGTTCACATTTTCCCATCCCTGGCAGTTAGGCGTCTTAGTACAATCCAGTTCTTCTAGTGAGTCTTTGCCATTGCTCCCTCCCCCCTTCCCAGAACACAGCCACCTGGGGGTTCTTTAAATCCAAATCCCTGCTGGCAGGTCACATTTTGTTTTTTTGTTTTTTGTTTTTTTTTTTGGGATATTGAGTAGTTCATTTTATTTTATTATTTTTTTTTCATTTTTCTTTTATTATTCATATGTGCATATAAGGCTTGGTTCATTGCAGGTCACATTTTGTTTTGTTTCTCTTTGGACACAATGATTTGTGTGAGCTTGAGACTGCCCTATCAATGGAGCTTTGGCCTGTGGCTCAAACTCTCAGGGAAGAGTTTTTGTTTCCTCCTCTTGTCCAATGCTGAGCTGACATGCTGGCTGTCCTGGCCCCCACTCTCTGTGAGGTGGTTTTTCCATCGAAGGTATAGCCTGGTGCCCCAGCTTCTTCATGGTAGGCAAAATAATGATTGGTGTCTTAGATTGGATGAAATAGTGCAGTGTCAAATCTTAGAAAGCATCGGAGAGCTTGCCACAGTACACAGAGAGAAACTTCCTCTCACAGCTATGCCTGGTCTTTCTCTCTCCTTCTTCTTCTCTTCCTCCTCCTCCTTCTCCTTCTTCTTCTTCCTCTTCCTCTTCTCCTCCTCCTCCTCCTTTTTTCTTTTCTTTTTTTTTTGGCAACACTGGGGTTTGAACTCAGGGCTTCACACTGCTAACCAGGCACCGTACTGCTTGACCCACACCTGCAGTCCCCACCTTCTTTTCTAGCTGGAGGAAATGGCTCCTTGGCTTCCTCTCTTGCCTTAGGTGGTACCTTTCTTACAAATGATGAACCAGGGCAGATGCATCACTATTGACTAAAGTCCACGGTGTGAATTAGGGGTCACTCTGAGGTTGCCCATTCTCGGCATTTGGACAAATGAGTAAGGATAGGTGTCTACTGTTACGTTCTCATACAGTGGTTCCACAGGCCTGGAAATCCCCTGCGCTCCACCTGTTCCTCCCCTTCCCCCTTCTCCCCTTCTCCCTTCAGGCCCTGCAACACTGATTTTTTTCTGTTTTGCCTTTCCCAGGATGTCATAGATTTTGGCTCATTCACTGTGTGGCCTCTTCAGACTGGCTTCTTTTACTTACCAACATGCATTTGAGTTTTGCCCCCATGTTTTCTTTTTTTTTTTTTCTTTTATTATTCATATGTGCATACAAGACTTGGGTCATTTCTCCCCCCTGCCCCCACCCCCTCCCTTACCACCCACCCCGTCCCCTCCCTCTCCCCCCTACCCCCTCAATACCCAGCAGAAACTATTTTGCCCTTATCTCTA